TCCTGCCATAGAAACACTCCGTTCAGAATGTCCCGCCGGGCGTGCCACTATGTTTGGCCTGAAAAGAGCTTGCGTCAATTCCGATGGAACCGGATGGGCGTGCCAGGAACTGCAGTAGTTCTAAAGAGAAATCCAAACAATATTCTAGAGGGAAAACTGCGGGACCAGGCGATTATGTTGAGGTCTGGAATGAACACCTCAGGGTTCTTTTTGCCTTTGATAAAGGACTTCGAGAAAGTTAATTGGCTAGGAAGAAATGTAAAATTACTTATGAAAGTAATTGACTGGAAAGTAAAATTATCTAATGTAAAGTGCAGGACTGAAACTAATCATATTGAAAGTGCATTGCAATGAAACGTAAGGATAGTATTGAAATACGTAGTTTGATTGGCGTTGAGCAGACTTTCTAAGTTACAACATATGCCCTATTTATAGAATTTAGTAATGGTAGCTTGCATGCAATTACTTGCTTCATAAGCTTCCATGTGTCCCACTTTGCATGTAAGCGCTTATAACCGCTTGCTTCCTTGGTTGCCATGTGTCTCACTTTGCATGTAACCGTTTATAACCGCTTACTTCCTTGGCTGCCATGTGTCCCACTTTGCATGTAACTGCTTGCTTCTTTGGCTGCCATATGTCGTAATACTTTCCACTGGAATGTCGTAGTAACTTTCCATTGGAATCGACCAGCTTCCTAGGCTGCCATGTGTCCCACTTTGCATGTAACCGCTTGTAACCACCCATTTCCTAGAATGTGTCCCATGACTTTGCATGTAACCACTCACTTTCTAGGCTGCCATGTGTCACATGACTTTGCATGTAACCACTTGTAACCGTTTGCTTCTTTGGCTGCCATGTGTCGTAAGACTTTCCACTGGAACGCCGCAGTACCTTTCCATTGAAATCGACCTGGGTAATCTCCTACTGGAAAGTGGAAAATAAGGGTGTAAACACTTATAAGCTAATATTCATTCATTGGTTCTTCTTTAGTGTACGTGGGCCTTATTTGAGAGTGCCTGAGCACTCTATCCTTTACTCAAACAGAGCTATTGAACCCCTCTTTTTTCATTGAAGCCTTCAGACCAGTCAAGCATGTAGGCAGTGGTGCTTCAAGAGTTGTTATTGTCGTCAACGGTGGTGCGGCACTCCACATCATTGTTTCAATCTCACGAACCCCTTTGCCCAGTGGTGGTTGTTTTGGGAGTAGAGAGTAAGTAGGGGCATTTTTGAAAGAGTAAAATAGGTATTATATTAATTGAGAGGTGTTTTTGCACAATTTGAAAAAAAATAGGGGTGTTTTTTGTATACTTTTTTAAATAAGGAGTAAAAATATTATGAAATGTATACCTCAGAGGTGTTTCTTGTACTTATCTTATTAAATTTTGGTTTAATTTTGATAATTAAAAAAAAAAAAAAAATTGTGTCTCGAGTCAAAAACGAACTCATCAGAACAGTAAAAAAAAAAAAAAAAACATTAAACTCTCCATTTGACCTTATGGCATTCCTCTCATGGTAATCAACATCCCGTTGTACGTCAACTTATAATCATGAATAGAATTACATGTGTAATGAGATGCACACAATAATCAACAAACTATTCTACGTCAACCATCATAATAGAATTACAGTGTAAGGAGTTTTGTGTGGTGAATATTGTCATGTTAACTATCACCGTGGAATTGTCAAATCTTGTAACTGGGAACTTATTAATGGGGTAGTAGTAAAATCGTTACCTTTCTTTTTAAAAGGTTGGTATGATAGATAGAGACTTCTTCCCATAAATTACTTCTATCATGTGTTAAAAACAAAAAGTCTCAATCATTTGTTTGATTTGTGAGGAAGGATGAATTACTTTCTCCTCGCGAGCTTTTAAGAAATTTCACTAAAAATAACGGATAATTTATGGTATGGAAATTTGAATTTACTCGTATCTCAAAAAATCGCAAATATATATATATATATATATATATATATATATATATGAGATAAATCATAATCACTGTATTAATACCAAAAATCAGATCAATCCTAAACCAATTTGACCAGTAACAGAGATTCCGAAGAATTCGGCTCACATCCTATATCATTGAAAAACACAAAAAAGAAATCCTAAACGATGAAATTCCACTAAAAAAAATATGTTACATTCAAGTAACCAAAAATGATGAATATTAAATTTTGGCTTGATTTTGATTGAAAATGCGTCTCCATGGTTCTCATCTCATTAGAATTGCTCCAAAAAATATGTTAGCTCTCAATTTGACCTTTCAACAGTCTAAATAATCCTTTAAAAAAAAAATTACTAGATTTCTTTTTAAAAGGTAGTTGTGGTTGGTTGTTTTTTTTTAATTTTTTTTTATGCTATAGAAATTTAAATGATTCAACCATCACACTCCCATATAAGTTACGAAAGAAAATAAAAGAATCTTGATAACAAAATTAACCTAAATATTGAAGGGCCAATTATTGGTAACTACTCGTACAAATGCAAGAACTTCCCAAATCAAGTCAACATGAAAAACAATCAGTTTAAGTGAAAGCAACTTAAGTCACATGGAGAAAGTAGCGTTAAACCAACCACAAATTATAATGTGGAAAATGTAAGATGTGGTGATCATCAATCCTTCAATAATTGATTCATTGGGTCCATCTTAATGATGCTACAACAGTGTCACTCTTGCGTAAGAAATTTGGAAAAACGTAAATTGGGAATTATAAATACAATATCAAACTTTAATCGGCTCAAAGCCGCTCAGTGATTAATCTGAAATTGCACCACTTTACTCAATTATTGTTATTATTACTATTATTATTTTGGGTGAAACCCCTTTACTCAATTATTGCGGGCTAATGTTTATATATATTTTATAAAAACAACCTGGGGTCGTCCAAAATTCAAACAAATCAAATTTTATTATTTTACAGATGTACACTCAATCAATAATACTCTGGTCCTCTCAAAGTGTACAATTATTTTGAAATAGAGGGAGTAATACTTTGTTTTTAGTGAAATCTCCTAAAATAACTTCTCTTGTTTTTTGTTTTCTCTCTCCTCATCATCATTGACTATTTTTAATTAAACTTTAACCAAATTTATCTCCTAAAATAACTCATTTTTTCTCTCAATTTCTTTCTCTCCTCCTCATTCATGGTTGTTTAGCAAACCCTAACCACACACTTAATATGGGCCCAAATATTTATATTCTTAAATAATTTTTTTTTTTCTTTCTCTATCTTGTACACTTTGTTTTTACACCAGCACTATGTATATATATATATATATATATATATATATACGGTAAATTGCACCGCAATAAATATTAAAGATGTTAACTGTACTATGTGGAAGTGAAAAAACTTTTCATATTCTTTTTTTCTAGTTTTTATTTATTTATTTATTTCTTATTTTTGCAGCAGCATTGAATTGGAGCTTTCTAAATTAGGTTATATTATTCTTTTTCTTTAATTATTTTTTAGTTTTACTAACTTTTGTTATTATAAATTTGTATATATCTATGTTTTCATATATTTGTATATTTGTTTGTGAGTTGTGACTATTTTTACCCATATTGTACTGTTGTCAGTTGAATGTCTGCTAGAAAGTGTGAATCCAATTTGAAAAACTAAAAAAAAGAAGAAAAAGAATATATAAACTAATTTAATCTTAAAAGGGAGCTATTGATAAATTTGTTATAACTAATAATCGAAACCTAATAAAAAGTTGATAAAATCATATCTAAGATCAACTATGTCAGAAAAATTAAAAAAGATTAAATGGATTGGCTATATTGTCTATTGAAAAAGATATTTTAACCACACTTGAATATAAGAATTTAATTTGTAATTTGCATATCAAAAAGCAAGAAGGATGATTTTTAATTAATTATTATTTAATACTTACTATATTACATATTATGATATGAAAAGACCACTTTTTATTTTTCACCTAAATCCCGGAGGTACATCTAGTCACCCCTGAATGAAAGGTGGTGATCTTAGCAATGGTGGTGTAAGGCGGCAATGGTGTAGGTGATACACTGTTGGTGAAAGGCAGTGGTATGATAGTGGTGGAAGAAAGTGGCAGTGGCGGAAGGTAGTGGAGGTGGTGGTGATAAAAAGTGGTGGTGGTGGAAGGCTGTGATGGCAGCAGTGAAGATGGTGGCGAAGGCAGTGGAGGTGGTGAAAGCGACAACTGTGTGCTAATGGAGCTGATTGAGGTGGAAGGCAGCGACAGTAGTGTCGGAAGTGAAAGGCAGTAGATAAGGGTGGAACCAATGCATGCCCAGGAGGGACACATGCCCCCTAGCCCCATTCCTTCCCTTATGTATTAAGTCCTTTAATGTTGTTCTATTACCATCTCCCCCCCCCCCCCCCCCAAAAAAAAACCCCAATTATCAAAATTATGTCTTACCTTTTTTCTTCCCCTCTATCTTTTACTTATTAAATTTCTTTAATTTCCTTGACCTTTTTTTTTTTTTTTTTTTCCTCCTTATTTAAATTAATTGTTATAATTTGATGAGCTCAATGTGTGTAATTTCATTATTCATGTATGATTTTTTCTTTTCTTATTTGCCTTTTGATTTAGACAATCTATATTTGTCAATTTTTTTTATTTATTTAATTCAGTACAATGCGCTCCCCGTGAAATGAAATCCTGGCTTCGCCCCTGGCAGTAGAGGTGGTGATAGGTGATGGTAGTGGTTTTTGAACTTAGAATGTGATGACTTTTTGAAAACTTGAATTTTTCTTTTTCTTTTTTTTTTTTTTAAAAAAAAAATTATTTAGAAAACTAAGTAATCATTCATTAGAGATGTGGAATGAATTTCATTTCAAAAGAATATGCTCTATTCATGCATACAAGACAAACATTAATTCCTTCCTTTCTATTATTAATTTTTTTGCCATCATACATAGCATAAGCAAATGATTGTGCTTTGGAAAAATGTAATAATGCTAGAACATATTTGAATTTTTTTTTATACCAAAACCAACCATATCATTCAAACAAGAGGGAGAATACATTCAGGGAGTAGAGCGTTTAACAACCACTTAGGCCATACGCGCCACTCTAAATCACCATATTCGGTTTCAAGAGCCTTTTTACTTAGTAAATGAGCCACATTGTTTCCTCCACGAGGAACCCACGCAAGCGAGGACCCTAAACATTCCTTAAGAAGGGATAAGACGTCCATGAAAACAATTGCCTGAGAAGCGTGACAGACCTGTAACTGCATAACAGACTTGCAATCGCCTTCCACCACCACATGATGATAGCCCCAACATTTTAAGAGGACCAAAGACTGCCTCAAAATAAGACCCTCGGCAAGCAAAAGGCTACAAACATTGGCCATAAACATCGAAACAACTTTGACGGGATGACCCAAATGGTTACGAAGGACAATACCACCACCACAAACCATTTTAGCAAAATTAAAAGCAGCATCAAAGTTAATCTTGAAACAACCGCTCTTTGGGACCAACCACCTAGCTGTCATTGGAGAAGGAAGAGAAAAATGCATAGAGAGTTGCTCATTTTGCCGAACAACATTTTGGTATTCCTGGAAATCAGTGAAAGCCCATTGGGCAACCTCAAAAAAATCCCAACGTTTTCTCTCAAAAACCATATCATTTCGACATTTCCAAATTGCCCAGCAAATAAATGCCACCAAACTAATACAAACATCTTCACCCTTAGTCTGGAACCATCTAGCACAAATGTCAGTCCAGCATTTTTGCCAAAAAGTTGGGGATGAAGACTAAAATTCAAGCCGAAGGGGACTCAACTTCCATACAAGCGTAGCAAGCGGACATGTGCATAAGTAGTGGTCTACGGTCTCCACAGTAGACTCACAAAGATGGCACCAAGGCGTCTCGGACACTCACCGAGAAAATAGCTCCTTATTCATCAGAATTCTTTCATGAAGACTTTGCCAGAGAAAAAGTTGGATTTTTCTATAAGTTTTGGTTTTCCAAACCTTATGCCATAAACTTCTACTGTCCGCATCAAAGTTACAGCCTTCAACGGGGATAGTACTGGACTGTAAATTGAGACATGAAAGTGCTACATGATAGGCACTCTTAACTGAAAACAAACCATCCTTAGAAGCACCCCATGTTTTACGGTCCACCTGCCCCATCAAACTGATTGGAATTTGAAGAATGAAATGACGATCCTTTTGATTAAAATGGTGAGAAATCAGCACTTGGTTCCGTGAATGAGTAGAATGATTGATTAAATCACCCACGGTAGAGAATGGAGCATCCTCTTGCGGCGAAGTAACAGAGGAACACAAAGAATCAGGTAACCAATTATCATTCCAACAATTAACCTTCGACCCATCCCCAATTCGCCATTTCATTTCCCGCTTGATTACTTCCCGAGTAGAGAGAATACTCTTCCACACCCATGAAGCATTAGATTTTGTTGGCGCTTCCACAAAGCAACAATGCTGAAAATATTTCTTTTTGAACACCCGAAATAACAAAGACTAATCCCCAATTTCCATTCGCCATGCAAGTTTAGCCAAGAGGGCTAAATTAAAGGTTTCGACATTCTTGAATCCAATACCCCCTTCCACTTTGGTTTTGCAGAGATATTTCCAGTGGATCCATTTAACTTTATAAGATTTCTAAACCCCACTCCACCAAAAATTAAGAAAATTACTGGTAAGAGTCTGATAATTTTTCTTTGGAAGTTTAAAACATTGCATTACATAAATGAGGAGAGCAGAGAGAACCGTTTTAACCAGAACTTCCCTACCAGCCTTGGAAAGCAATTTACCCTTGAGAGAGTGTGTTTTAGCTGACACTTTTGCCGAGATGAAATTAAGCGCCTCGACTTTAGAACGACCCAAAAAAAATAGGAGGCCAAGATACTGATTATGCCAATCCACGTTATGAATCCCCATAACATATCTACAAAACTCCTTCTGAGAACTAAGAGTATTGGGAAAGAAAAAAATTCACGATTTTTCTAAATTAATCAGTTATCCAGTAAGCGCTTCATACCTGTCCAGAATAGATTTAACATTTCGAACCTCTGGATCTTTGGCCTTACAAAAAATAAGAGCGTCGTCCGCAAAAAGAAAGTGAGATATAGCTGGACAACCCTTGCCGCCCATTATCCTTTGATGTCTACCACTCTCCTGGAACAAATATGAGAGCCCCTATGTACAAAAAAAGGAATAAGTACGGAGATAGAGGATCCCCCTGACGGAGACCTCTAGACTGGGAAAACCAATCACCGCGTTCACCATTAATCAACACAGAGTACGACACGGAGCTTACACATTCCATGATAAGGCTCACTCATCTCCCATCAAAACCCAAATAACCCATGAAGATATGCAGAAAATCCTAATTAACTCGATCATGTGCCTTGGCCATATCCAGCTTCAATGTCATTGAATAAGAGTTTCCATGTTTTTAGACTTAAGAACATGAAGGAATTCATGAGCCAAAATAATGTTATCATGAATTTGACGATTAGGTACAAAAACACTCTGATTCTCGCAAATGAGAAGATGAAGAAAGGGTTTAAAACGGTTAGCAAGGGTTTTGGAATAAAGTTTATACACCACATTACAAAGAGAGATGGGTCTGAACTTGGACATATCAGTGGGATGATAAACCTTTAGAATTAAAACTAGGATAGACAAATTAAGATTTCGGGGAAGAAAACCACCTCGGAGAAATGAATTAAATCCCTATAATAAATCTGTTTTCATCATCTCCCAATTTGATTGAAAAAAATAACGGAGTAAAGCCATCCGGGCCTGGGGCCTTAAATGGACCCATACTCTCCTCCGTAATTCAACTTCGGTACCCTCCTTAAGAAGATCATGGTTCATCTCTAGAGTGACTTTTGGATTGATCAACCGCCAAAATTCAGGATCCGCCTAAGTTGGGATAGCAGCAAATAAATTCTGGAAATAATCCTTTGCAACACTTCTAACATCATCCTTGGAATTTCTTCATTGGCCATTAGAATCAACTAAACCAATTATTTCATTTTTTCGTCTCCGAATCTGAGCTTTTCGATGAAAAAACTTCGTGTTTTTATCCCCATGCTTCAGCCATGCAACTCTGCATTTCTATAACCAAAAGATTTCTTCCTCCCTCCATGCATTACCCAGTTCTTGTTCAAGCTTGAAACAGTCAAAATTATTACAGCCGTTAAAGTTTTGTTTGAGCAGACACAACTTGTTCTCCAGTTCCTTAATTTTGAGAAAATAATTATTGCATTTACCCTTACGCTAAAGTTTGAGATCAGTTTTGCATTATTGCAATTTTTGGTCGATGCAAATCAATGGAAAGGCATGCAAAGGACGGTCCCAAGCCTTAGAAACCAGAGGCTTAAACTCCTCATCGTTGACCCATCTCGCATTGAAATGAAAGTTCCATTTATAATGAGAAATAGAATCATTAAGACATAACAAGAGGGCATTATGGTCAGAACCATGGACAGTAAGATGATGAAGCATACACCGAGGGAAAAACTGAAGCCAGTTGATAGAACACAACGCTTTATCTAGTCTTTCCATAATAAATTTGTGTGTGTAACGACCCAAATATACTGGATCCGGATCATTAAACGGGTCCTTACCTGACCTAGAATCATCCGAGGGTAATACGGTACTTTTACGTTAAATTTAAACATTAACATCCAAAAAGGGCAAGATGGTAATTTGCTACTATTCACATGGTTTGAGACCTAAAAGATAGGGCTACAAATGAGCCGAGCCGAGCCGAGCCGAGCTTTAGGCTGTTCGGGCTAGGCTCGTTTGTTTATGGGATCAGCTCGGGCTTGGGCTGAGCTTGTGATGAGCTCAAAAATTTGAGCTCGGGCTCAGGCTTGTCTTGATTTTAAAAGCTCGGACTCAGCTCGGGCTCGGCTCGTTTAACAAAAAAAAATAAAAATAAAATTCAAAATTAATTAGTATTCTACAGGCCACAATACATTTTTCCATTGCTTTATCAATTATCACATAAGCAAAAAGAAAAAGGGCAACAAAAAAAAAGGTGCAGTAGTGCAAGCTTTATGTTTCAAGAACAAATTAAGAGTTAATTTCGAAAAAAGAAAAAAGGACAAAATTGAGCATGAGTGCATTATGCATTTTCTATGAAAATACAACACATCAAAAAGTTATAAATTCCCATGATAATAATATCTATAGAACCACTGAAACATTGTATATATTAAGTAGAAAAAGAAATCATAGAGGAAAATAAGTTGGAGATAAATTAATTTAGCTACCTGTGGCCATTGAGCATTAGTCTCCATAAATTTAGAAGAAACAAAAGAAAATGCTAAACAAAATTGTCTGCAACTGCCTAAAGAATGTTTTGAGGTTGTCCAGATCCATGGAATTAAAGTGAAAATAAAGTTTTGCCAAAAAAATTAATTGATGCAGTACCTAATTGATGGCGAGGACAGAGGATGGCCAACGATGATGACGAGGATGGAGGGACAGAGGCACAGACGACGGCGGGAAACGGACAACGTCTATGGCGAAGACAGAGGACCACGGCCGATGATGACGATAACAGACGATGCGTTCAGATCTGAGAGAGAGAGTTATGGCGATTGAGTTGATTAGAGAGAGACAGAGAGGTAGTTGTGTAGATGGAAGGGTTATCGTCGCCGGTGGAGTTGATTCGTAACTCATGAGTGAGTGATAGAGAGAGAGAGACTGACGATGTTGTGAAAAAGAGGCAAATCTGAATGGTGGGGTGTAGTTTTAGGGTTTTTTGATATCTTACAAAATCAACGGATGAGATGGGTTCTAATTTAATGGGTGAGACGAAATCTTATTTGTGCTATGGATCTATGGTGGATTTTCTTTGGCCTAGTGAGTTATAATGCTTGGGCCATATTAATGAAAAATATGAGCTGGGCCAAACTTAAAAATAATATGGACTAAACATTTTAAATGTACAATAAAAACAAATGGGCCTGATATATATAGAATAGGCCTGATATATATAACGAGCCTTATACGAGCTTTGTTCACGAGCCTTAACGAGTATTAACGAGCCCATGTTCACGAGCCTATACGAGCCGAGCCCAACATTGCTTAGGCTCGGCTCGTTTAGTAAACGAGCCTAGAAATTGGGTTCGAGCTCGGCTCGTTTGCTTAATGAACGAGCCTGAGCCGAGCCCTTAACGAGCCGAGCCCGAGCTGTTCATGAACAGCTCGGTTCATTTGCAGCCCTACCAAAGGACATAAATGTCTTTTACTTGTATCACATAATAAATAAAATAAAGTCTCGGGTAACGTGGTCTTTTCGTTGGTTAAAATATAATTATTGCATTTTATTGGGTCATAAAATAAATACTTGTAACATAAATTGGGTACCAAAATATAATTTGGGAAACTAAATAGAATTCATATGTGGAACGTGAGCCGGTCGACGTATGCACATTATACATCGACTGGTCTGGGTTACGAACAGTGGAAAACCCATTGCCAAGATACCGGTTGACGTATGGAATTTTTAAGTCGACTGGTTTGGGGTCAGGATACCGGTCGACGTATGGGAAGCCATACGTCGACTGGTTTACATCGTGTGCAACAATGACCCATACTGTCAAGATACCGGTCGACGTATGGGAACCTATACATCGACCGGTTCTGGGTAATTCTCACTTCCACTTCCCACTGTCCAGTATGCACCCATATACACCAACATTTGATGATTAACCACCCACGCCACTGCACTCACGTACGAAATTAAACACATTACAACATCTAATACAATAAAACCAACCACGTTGTTAACGTAATTTGCCACACATTACTTAAAATACACAAACTGATTTAGAGTGAGTAAAACTTAATTACAATTTCTCAATAGCCATATACAAAATGAACCTCAATACACCACACGTTGCAAAAATAATACATCTTGAGTTAGTACTTTACAAAAAATTAGGTCCATTTACAAAAGATAACAAAAGAGACATTTCTCTACTCCAAGCTAAGGCTGAGGTGGATTACCGTCAGCTACTTCTTTTCCATGACATGAAAAAATGATAATTATAATAGGGTGAACGAATCGCTCAGTAGGTAGTACTTAAGACACGTCTCTTGTGTCCTCGTAAATCCAAAACAAAGCATAGAACGATAGGAATGGGGATCATATAATGCCAGGACAATATAACATGCTAACCAAATTCAAATACAATCAATGCAATGCCATGGAATGCAATGCATACCGATGTCATTTCCCATTTCCAACATTCGAAACCATCACTTTCAAACTGTTAATGTAACCCCCTTTGGTACCCCCTCAGCGCCGAGAGAAGGATTGGCTACTGTCCCTAGACCATTGGTGACTCCACAACGTCATCGTAGGGCCCAGATAGCTCAACCACGCTAGGGCAATCTCCCTAGTTCCCTCTAGGTTACATTAACCTACCGGCCCGTTGGTGATTCCGCAGCGACCAGGTTTTCATAAAACTATTTCATAAAAACTCTTTCCCAAAATTCCACTTTTTATTTCAAAGGAAAAATTCTCCCACTTCATGCCTAATACAAGTGCACGGATGCATCAATACCATGTACATGTCCATTATTCCATAACCAATTCAACTTTAGTAATCGAAGCATAGTTTCACAAGGATTCTAAAGAAATTACAACATACTTTTATACCATATAATTTTAGCAAGATGAACATATATAAATCATCCCATAAACATGCTCTTTACATAACTCATTTACCACACATAGTTGCACAATTAATGTATACACATAACAACCAACAATTTACTAAAGTTTTAAACAAATTGATCATGCACAAGACCCTTAAAATGGATTAATTCAAGAGGGATTAATTCACTAAAGCACAAGACTTCATGGATTAAGAACCCCTACCTTAATTTTAAACAAAACCCTTAAAATGAGTTCAAATTTTTAAAGTCCCTAGGAAGGCTCAAAGCTGGAATTTCTGTTATACACGCGTAGAGCTCGTCGTGCTCTTCGTTTTACCTCAAACAGCACTCAAAAACTCCAAGGATTGAAGATGGAATCAAGTTTCAAAGATTTGAAGTAAAATGAAAAAGAAAAAGCAAGAACAAGAGTGAGTGAGAGGAACTTACGGGAGAGAGAAATGAGAAGGCAGAATTGTGGTCTCTAAACCACTTTTGATATAGTGGTGGGCCTCACGTATTTTATTTCTTTTCTGTTTATCTTTTACTTGAAATTTTACACCATATAAAATGCATCACCATTTAAATGTCACACTATCATATAAATTAAGATGCACCAAATGCAATTGGACCCAACCACAATCCCACACGCAAAACGTGAAAAGACAGAAATACCCTTACTTCGACGAAATTCCAGAAAAATGAAAAGTGTAGAAAATCAGAAACGTCACAGTGTGTTTGTCTCTTATTTCGCCAGGTAAAGGGAAAACCCTTGAACCGTAGATCATAAGGTTCAGTCATCAACAAACTGCTTGAATTCCTTAAGCATCCAACCTTATTTCATAAGGCCTCCTCGCTTTTCATCTTTATGAAACAAAGCGTTGAAGTCTCCCATCAAAATCCATTTGGGCCCTAACTGAAAAGATAAGCTATGAATATAGCTCAACTGAGAAAACCGTTCCCTCTCAATACAAGCACCATACACCCCTCTGAAAAACCATAGACAATTACCTTTTTCCCCTACAATCTTGCATGTAATTTGAAATTCAATAAAATCAATGATAGTAATCTGCTAAGCCTTCGAAAATAACAGAGCCAAATCACCAGCTCGACCAACAGATGGCACCTCAAAGGATTCGTACGTTTCCAGGAAAACTCTAATTTTTTCCACACGATCCCCAACGTTCTTAGTTTCATAAAGAAAAATCAGAAGAGGGTTATGAAGGTGAACTAACCTTCTCAACTAGGAAACTGTCAGGGGGTTCCCCAAACCCTGACAATTTTACACCAGAACCCTCATTGAGGGGGTTGAGGCCATTCGAGGTTGGATACCACCACCAATTTGGAAGACATGGGAGAATTGGTAACAGCGGACGGCGCACTTACTAAACAGGGCACCATCATTTTTGTTTTCTTTGGATCTGACGATTTAGGCTCGCTGATGCCATCTGACTTTCTTTTGAGCTGAGGAGATGCCTCCACAAAATGAGTCCCAGAAATCTTCCTCGCTTTCCTTTTCCACGATCGGTGCCCAGCAGATTCCTCCAAACACGAAGACAGAAACGAATGATGATTAAAGGTAACCATCGGGTCTAACCCATAAGGATCCATCTCATCTAGATACATAGAAGTGCAATTTAATTGGGTGTTATTTGTACTTGGACTGTCACCTGGATCAAGAGGAAACATTGGGCCTGGTATGAGTTAGTCTTTAGGACATGGGTTATGGAGTGGGGCTGTAGTGGAAGAAATATGAGATTGACCTGTACTAAGAGGCCCAATCATTGTATGACCCGTATTAATCATACCAAAAGAAACTAGACTAACAGCTGTAAAATCTTGAGCCCCACCCCCGCCATCTGATGTCAGAGTCTTCTGCGGGTTCAAGTGCGTGGATACATTATTGGCCACCACTTTTCCATCCGCGTGGAGAGACCGAACCCCAAAAGTCGTAGGGTAGGTAGAAATTAGATTGTAATCACATAGGGAATTAATGGAGTCTCTGTTGCCGCTGCTTGTGTCACCGATCAAAGGACCCGTCGTCGAAAAAACTGAATCTGTAGATGAGAGCTCATGGACGGAGAAAAGCTTGAACCGCTTTGGATTTTCATAAGTTTGCCAGACTTGCCTGATGCCCTTAACCAGTCACTAAATTACCGCTCATCAATAGGCTCAGCCGTTTTTCCCAGACATGAACGTACCTCTTGGCCAACTCTACCACAATAATAACAAAGGGACGAGAGGCGTTCATATTTAAACTTCGTCCATGTCTTAATGCCCTCGTGCTGGATTTTGAGTCCTCGCCGGAAAGGCTTGGATAAATCCACTCCTACTCTGATTCGGAGATAAATGTTTCAAGCAAAATAATATAAATTACGTCACCTCGAATGGCACTAATAGAGTGCTGGCCGAGGACTTTTCAACAATCAAGTCAATGCTTTCGATCGTATAATAAAAAAATAATTATGTATTAAATATTTAAAAAACATTCTTGTACCTTGTTTGGTGGCCATCAACCATATTTATGGTTGCATCGGAATCCAGATGGTTATATAGATGTCGATTAGGAAGATTCAGTTTATCTTTTTTAACTGAGCCCCCCCCCCCTATCTTTGTCAACTGAATGATGAAGCCTCATCATTATGGTAACTTTTTCACGAAGTCGAAGGGAACAGTATGATCAAAGCAGCTAGGCAAATATAGGGTCATTTTTTTTCCATCACTAATAATAGTTTTTTGTTTTTAATAACTAAAAATTAAAATTGTACAAAAACTTATTTAACTATAGTTTTCTAAAAAAAAAAAAAAAATTCAAGAAACATGTTTTTAAAAATAATTTTCTATTTTCTGAATTCTTCAAAAAGTTAGTAGGTCCTAAAATATTGTTGTTGTACATTTTTTTTTTTCCCTTTTCCTTCTATATTTGTTAAATACTTTACATAGATTTCTTTGTATGATCTTATTCTCCATTCTTCTTCATCATTTTTTTATTTTTTTTATTTAACCATTGAACCCCTCTAAGGCATGACCTTTAGACGCACACCTAGCAGTTAAATCACGATTGAACTAGCGCAAACCTATCACCAATTCCCGAATAAGTCACTGGCAATCCAATAAGAGTTCTACTTTCAATGTGCCTTCTAAGTGTCGAACTCAGGACATCCTCCTCCAAAGTGCATATCTCACGAGAAAAACTTAAATGAACCGATTGTACTGATGACATAGTATCATCAACTTATTATTAAATAATGTCAATGTAGTGATAAGATCTACAAAAATAAAACATTTTTAGTCATGTAACAAGATACAATTAATATCCACAGTTCCAATCCATTAGAACAATCATTGGTCAATGGAGTATGGTTGTGATGTTGTCCCTAGTGTTAGCTAGGCTATTAAATAATAAGAAAGTGAAGTGGTCAACAAATGCATACAATCAAGACAGCCAAACAAAACAAGCACAAGCCAGAAGTGTAGCTAGTGAAGAGCCACCAATTCATCAAGTGAAGCCAAAAACCAAGCCATTCAACCATCTCAACCGAAAGTAACTGTCAATCAACCATAATAAATTAAGTAAAAAAAAACTACCTCCAAGGTAACAATGGAAAGAAAGAATACAAAAGAAAATGACAAAGACCAGAGAGCATCCAATCCAATTCATTAGCCTCTCAATTTAGTTTTAAATTCTAGAAAGGGCCAAACATGAGGTCCCCAAGACCACATTGTCTCATTTTCCACTGCCTCATGTCCCTTAGAACATGGAGGAAATTATGGCAGCTTTCCCTGCTATAAGTTCCTCCCCTCTGTCTCTATCTTTCTCTCCCCCTCTCTCTCTCTTTCCATACTATATGCCAACCTCAAAACCTCTTTAACAACACCAAACACTTCTTAGTTCTTATGCCAACAAAGCCATCAATCCCAACTGAGAAACCATAGCCAAAAAGAGAGGAAAAAAAAGATAAAGAAACAAGTCCACTTTATTAGCACTTTTTTTTTTAAGCCATAACATATCCTAGTAGAAAAGTAGACATTATTCGCGAAAATTCCGCAGTCACTTTTCTTGAAAATCTTTGTAGTTGTGAGATTTTTTCGCTAGTGAAGAAGAAAAAAGAGAGATGGATATTGAATTGGCAAAGTGTGATTGTTGTGGACTGAAAGAGGATTGCACCCAAGAGTACATAAGCGAAGTGAAGGCGAAATTCGATGGGAAATGGCTATGTGGGCTGTGCTCTGAAGCTGTTAGAGATGAAGTAAACAGAGGAAAGAAGCCATTTGAGATGGAAGAAGCTGTGAAGGCTCACATGTCATTTTGTCGTAAATATAAATCGAACCCTGCCATTCGAGTTGCTGATGGGATGAGGCAGATGCTGAGGAGAAGGTCAGGTGATACGTCGTCCTCACCATCTTCTTCTTCTTCCAAGAAGTACTCAAGATCAGTGAGCACGTCACAAGTCGGAGACAATTCTTCCTTCTCTTATTACTAGTTTATAATGTTAACAAATTAACGAGGCCCTCACTTTTTGTTCCAATAAGGTTTGACAGCTTGTCTTTCATGGCTAAATTTCATCTTTGTCTTGTACAGGAGATGTTATCTCAATGAAGGCTTCTTCCTAGTTTTGTTTTGTTCTTGAAATTAATATATATGTTCATACTTTGTTTTCCTATCTTCACTTTACCCAAAATAAGTCAAATGGTATTTGAAAAATAAATCATACCTTTTAATTTTTTTTTTTTCCCCAAATGTAGACATTAGGCCTTTTGCATTTCAATTCCTGCCTGTTTTTCCAAGAAAAAGAATTTCAATCCCTGGCAGGTAAAGTTGAATTTTTCTCATTTTTTTTTCCTTCTATTTTTAATGAAAATCACAATATTATTCATTTGATAATTGTTTGACAATGAACTTGAATTTACATGATGGAAGGGAAAAGTCACTCTCTGTCTTTCTCTTCCTTTCCTGTTTTTACTGAAGTTTAAAGTATCAAGTGTACTTTGTAATTCACAAACCTGGGATGTTACAAAGATTCAAATATTATATTTGGGTTGAAAGGAGAAAAAAAAAAATAAATTTTGAATTCTGAAAATATAGGTCTCATTTTGCAGAAGATATTTCTCCTACCTTTTATGCATTCATAGTCCCTGTTTTGGTTTGCTTCAGTTTCAAATCCCAGGAAAAAAAAATAATAATGATAAACAATTAAGACCGACAAATCAAAACTGCTGTATGCATATAAAAAATACATCAGCATGGGTCAACCTCCTACTACACTTGAAGGACTAATTAAGCATTATTCTAAATGCTTAAATCGTTGAGTAAAAAAGGTAATAGTTTTTTAATCACCCACTGAGATAAATGGTTGAAAAAAGGGATTAAATAATTTACACTTGAAAGACTAATTAAGCATTATTCTATATGCTTCAATTGTTGAGCTAAAAAAGAGAGTAATTTTTTAATCATCCACTAAGATAAATGGTTGAAAAAGGGGATCAAATAATTTGTCTGAATATCTACGGCCTCATAATGATAAAGTGGATTCGAGAATATTAAACTTGTACATGATTCAGAAGAAATCACTAAATCTTTGGATGATCATCAGCCTATTGACCGACCATCTGTTTCATGTCCTTAAATAAGAAGCCAAACTTCCCCCTCCTTTATTACCGCGATTAAAATTGTTGCTGAGGTGTGGTGCCATCGACAGCATCCCCGGTTTGTAGTCTGGGGGTTCCTAAGGGGCCCTACCCAGGAGAGTTCCGGTGCCAGCAAAAAAATAAATAAATAAGAAGCCAAACAATGCTCCTTTTCTGCTGAAAATAATGAACCACTTCACCTACTTGGTCAATAAACAAAACAAAACTAAATATGAAACTCAAATAATCAAAACTTACTGTCATGATATCAGTAATATATATCCCTTCCAAAGAAACCAGCCAAATAAATCAATTCAGGAGAAAAAGATAGTCCCGACAGCGTATAAATTTCATTTAAGTGATCAACATCAATAAAACAGGATTATACACAACAAATTTCGCCATGTTTCTTTAATGGTACGTCAATTTTCCATTGTTTCTCGAATAGTATTTGTTGAAAGAGAAAAAAAAAATATCCATATAGTCTAAAAATGTTAAATGATGACAGATACACAACATTGACAATATCTCGAGCAGGCAACATAAATGACAATAGGTTGAAGTTGTTGCTGTCACAACTATTTAGGTGACAACAATGCTTCACCACAAATTATGGCGCGGCATCTCAAGTTGGGACATTTCGTATAGTCTAGTCAAACAGAGAATGCAATATAATATGCATGAGAAACAATGTAGCAATTTTTTTTTTTACTTTTTTAACAGCATCTATGAGGAGGTGTTGTTTCGACTTCAAATGGAATGGCTTTGGGTAAAATTTTAATTTTGATGCTAGTGTATCAAGCTCAAGTTGGTCAATATTATCCATCAGATCAGTAAAAGAGTGATTTTTGGGTGAAGTGGTTCTTAAATAAATACACACCACCTGACTTTTGGAAGTTTGTAAGGCATGTTAGAGGGTGAAAGGAAAACATCCCAAGGGTTATGTTTTTACCATTGCGGTCCATAAGTTTTGGAGGTACCAGCTGTGCATAAGCCAGTGAGATATTTGGTACAACAACTAACTATTCTCCACTTTCATATTACCAAACCATGCTCACTCCCTTACTAAAAAGATATACTTATGAAATAGGAGTAGGTTGATTATGGTTGCCATTTCACACACCTTTGACTACTTCAGGCATATGTGTCTACTGGGAATATCAATGAACTGGTGATAGGTAGCATCTGTTCCACTTCCATAGATTAATTTAAGAGATGTCTGATGCTCCACTAAAAGGGCTAGCCCAGTGCACGAGGCTCCTATCATTATAGAGTATAGGGAGAGTCAAATGTACGTTGTCTTACCTCTGTACTAATGGAGTAACCTTATCGTTGAACCAATGTCCACCCTATCATCCTCCTAAGATTATAATTACAAAACAATATATATATATATATATATATATATATATATATATATATATATATATATTTTCAAATGTGAGGATTTTTTTATGCCCCGCCATAAGTTGTAGACAAGTGGCTGATTTGAAATGTTCTACTTCAATGGAATTCATGGAACATGGTAACAATAATTGATGGAGGAGAATTAATAGACTAGTAGGACTGAGATTTTCACCCTTGACTTCCCAGAATAAGAATAAGAAGAAGATATGATGATAAGAGAATATCACAAAAATTGTAGCCCTATCAATTAAGGATAGACCAAAAAGGGAGATAAAAAGGCAATTTGATTAGTCAGAACCTCTCTAAGAAATCTTCCCTTTCCATATTTGGATTTCAAAATAGTTTCAAATTTTAAGGGAAGTGGCTCCTCTTTTTCAACAATCCATTTTTTTGATTATGTCTTCCACATTCTAACAATTTATCAACTTGCAACATTTAAAAAAAAGTAGTACTATAAAAGCTTCTTGTACAATTGTATTTCAAATGAAAGGCTTTACAGTGTATGACCATCATCCAAAGAAAGGAATTGCAGCAGATATGAGATCATTAAATAAAATGTGTTCATCAGACAAAAATATATAACAGATATTAGGAGCAAGACTCTTTCCTGTCCAACTTTGGTAGCTAGTGAGGATGATATCTACATGATCAACAACAAAGTACTTGAATATAAACAAAGAGAAGCTTGTCAATGTAATGACCTAAGCATGCATGTCTCAAGTTTCATTGGCAGAACCTTAGTCTGATTTTTTACCCTTTGAGATGATCAATTGTTGTACTGACCACTTTCTAGAACTCAAAAGCTAATTAAAGTGTGCACTTAAATTGCCTAGTGTTAAAGATCAAACAAGGAAAAAGCTCTAGTAGAAACAAACATTTTCAAGAATGCTGAACAAATAATGTTAAACATATATGTAGTGCTTTAAGCAAATTTTAAATAATTCAGAAAAGAAGTTTGAGTATATGTGATAAGAAAATGCTTTTGAAAACACACACACACACAAAGAAAAGAAAGAAAGAAGAAGAAGAAGCAAAAACTGAATATCACCAATAGGCTCTAGCCTAGATGGTATAAGCTCTCCTTTCTTCTTGGGAGGTTGAGTGTTCGAGTCCCAATATTGACAAAAATATAGTGGGAACTAAAAGAAAAGTAACCAATAGATATATTCACGTGAATGATCAATAGACACACGTAATATTCACCTGAATGTATTTGTGGTTACTTTTCTTTTTTATTATTTCATCAGCTTAGTATTTTGGCTTACTAACTTTTTTGTATATGAGGAGCCAAGATTCATGGACAGGTTTGATGCTGACTAAAAATGATAGCATTTCCTACAATACGAATGATGTCATCTAGATTGGCACCGGTGCGATGCTAGCCGAGGACACAAGAACAACCTTGATTGGTGCTGTGCCAGCCAAGGACCCTACGGACAATCAAGTCAGATATATGCTTTGTGAAAGCAATTGAATGCTATGTTTAATTGTCGTATTTAATTTACCCCATTTATTTAACCATGGCAAGAAAAGAAAACCCACATCCCAACCCTTCTTTCCTTTCCTTTCCTTTCCATTCCTAGCGGGACTAAAAGCCTCTCATTAGTGTACAATATTTGGTGTTCAATTAAGAGACGTTTGTTTTCTTTGCATAAATACAATCATGCAAGAGATACCATTAATCTACAGTCCTTGGTGGTCGATTAAGGGGTGTTTGTTTTCTTCTTTGTATAAATACAATCACGCAAGTATTTGCTGTTAAGTTTTACTAAGTTTTTGTAATGAAATCCTTGTGAAAAGTGATTCCAAACTCATTTTCATGCTAACAAGATAATAAATTTATGCCATTGGCTTAAATGTGTTCATGATTTTACTTGAGAATGGTCTGATGGTAGGGTCAGATATTCTATTCAAGAGGCAAATAATTCATGGGTATACACAAAAAAATGATGCAAAGATGTCTGTTTATGATCCAAAATCACTCATTTGCAGAAATCAACTGGTTTGTTTGTGTGTTCTTGCTGGTTGTTTTTTCCTAAATGCAACTGCACAATCACATGGAGAAATATTAGCAACTTAAGCATACACAACTATTAGTTATTTTATCATTTAAATGAAAGTTTTTTTTTTTTTAACTGGGAATAAAATGTAATTACATAAATGAAAGTGTCACCAGTAATCTTTACAAGAACAGACACCATCTTTATAATGGTGAAACCTAGTCCTATCTCTCACAACAATTTGTCTCTCATATACCTTAGATACCAACTTCATAAATGTATGACAGTCTTCACAAATCCTAAGATTCTTAACAATACGAATGGGAGACCCTTTCTCTCCTCTCATCAGCCCATAACAAAGTGCTAACTTCTCACTGTGCCATAAAACAACTTCCTTCTTTTCATCTTCCTCCAAATCAACCAAAACACTACAGGTATTTGGAGCATAACCAGCCAGCTTCAACTCACTAACTACCTCTTCTAACTTGGCATAGATCTCATCTGTTTGTTTATGATTTCTATCTGCCATAAAAAACTCATGTAACTCATTGTTCAATTCAATCCTGCTACATCCCCGCTCCTTGGATATGCCTCGATGTTTCATCAATTTTCTCACCTCTCCAACATCTTCCCATCTCCTTTCTTTAGCATATATGTTCGATAAGATTATATGGGCCCCATCATGATCCGGATCCAACTCAAGAAGCCGTTTTGCAGCGTATTCACCTAATTCTAATTCACCATGAACCTGGCAAGCAGACATTAGAGATCCCCATATCACAACATTAGGTGCCAAAGGCATTGTCTCTACAACCTCAAGAGCTTCTCTAAGTAGACTAGCACGGCCAAAGAGGTCTACCATGCATCCATAGTGCTCATGTTTGGGTTTGATGTTGTATTCATTCACCATTGAAGCAAAAATTTTCCGGCCCTCCTCAACCAATCCTGCATGGCTACAAGCATAAAGCACCCCCACAAAAGTTACCCAATTGGGCTCTATATTTTCATTTTTCATTTGATAGAAAAGCTTCAAGGCAGTAGTTGCATCCCCATGCACGGCAAATGCATTGATTATACTGGTCCAAGATATCACATTCTTTCTACGCATTCTATTGAAGATTCCTCTTGCTCTTTCCAAACTCCCACATTTAGCATACATATCAATAAGAGCATTATTAACAAGCAAAGCTTCTCCAAACCCATTTTTATTAACATACATATGGATCCAATTGGCTTTATTCAACGCGCCAAGATGAGCACAAGCTGAGATAACACTCAACATGGTGACTTGGTCAGGTTTTATTCTCAAAATTTCCATGTCATTGAACAATTTTAGAGCTTGTTCAGGCCAATCACTCTCTGCATAACCAGCGATCATTGCACTCCAACAGACCAAATCCTTCTCAACTATTTTATTGAAAATCACTCGAGCAGCATCAACCTGTCCCACTTTGCAATACCCAGAAACCATGGCAGTGGAGACAACAATGTTTTTCGGTGACTTATCAAACAAATCCCGAGCCAAATCCATGCAGCCACAATTTGCATACATGTTGACAAGAGCACTCTGCAAGTAAGAGTCGACCACAATATTCTTCTCAGTAATGAATTGATGGATTGCTTTCCCATAAATTAAATTTCTAGCACGGCCACATGCAGAAAGAACAGTTGAAAGAATTATCCCATCTGGTTCCACATTGGAGATCTTCATCTCTTCAAATAGTGTCAAGACATCGTCAAAGAGCCCATTCCGACAGTAACTGTGTTACAAGTTATAATTGAGAGAATTAGCAAATTAAAAAGTATTCAGATGAATGAGAAATGAAAGTCAATTTGATCAGAAAATTTTTTTAAGCATTCTTCCAATGATGACATTACTTCAAAACGAACAATACCAAAAGCACAATATTTATACGACCATACTAGCAATTCAATCTATTATTGTAAAAACCATATCATACCCATCAATCATAATGTTCCATGTTATGGCATCTCGATGAGACATTTTATCGAACACCAACCGTGCATCCAAAATTTGACCACACGCAGCGTACATTCCAACCAAAGCCGTCTGAACAAATGGGTCCGTGTCAAAACCCAACTTGGAAGCCAACCCATGAATCTCCATCCCTTCAATGTACGCCGAAAATTTAGACGCCGCCTTCAATAGCGGAGGGAAGCTAAACGTGTCAATACCCAACCCATCTCCCCTCAATTTCCCATACAGCAAAAGGGTCTTCTCTGGTTGGACACTGCGCGACAGTTCGCGCAATAGACGATTACAGATATGGGTTTCGGGGCTGGACATTTGGTTGAAAACGGAGAGAGCATAGTCGAGGCCGGAAGAGAGAGCGCAAGAAGAGACGATGAGTTTGAGGAGGAGGGAGTTAGAGCGGTCGAGACCGGACCGGAGGATTTGGGCGTGGATTTGTTTGATGTGGGTGAGGGAGGTGGCTGCTGTGAGAGATGTGTGGAGGTGGTGGTGGTGGGGGTGGTGGAGGGTGGTGGAGCTTGGGTGGGAAGGAAATGTTAAGATGGGTTGGCTCATGGTGGCCAATGCCATGGCATGTACTAGGGATATTTTGTTGAATGATTGTGTGGAATTTTTGGAGAGAGAAAAGGAGGGAAATACACCAGACATGGAGGGATTTACAGTCAACCTTTTTGTTATTTACTCATCCCCTATTTTCAAAATGTTGTACATTGATAGTAGGTTAAAAAGTCTCTCCCTCAACACTGCTTTAGACCAATAATAAATAGATACTCGTCCATTATCATGATACATTTATCAGTATTATATTTACTTTTATTTTTTTATTTTATAATTGAAAAAGATTTATCCATATGTTATTGATATAAGATTTTAATGGTTAAATCCATATCCATTTTATTCATTTGGAAATTAAACTTTCATCATTCACTTTGAAAAATTAAAAAATAATCGGACCATAGTAAATTATCTTTTTACATTATCTCTTTTACTAATAGTCATTTCCTCTATTATGTTTTAATTTATAATCATAACTTCATTTCACATTATTATTATTATTATTTATTTTATTTATTACAATTAAAAATTAAACTTTCTAATGTCATGTCTATTTTTTTTTTTTTTTGTATGGTCATTTTTTTTGGATTAAAATCATAAAACTGCTTTTAATGTTAAATTAAAATGCTAATAATTATTATTGAAATTTCTTTACACGCGTGGTTGTTTTGTGCCATCGACAATGAGTCTTTGCTTTCAATTAGAATGTACTTCATAGAGGTTAAATTCATAAATTTAAAATAACAATTATAAATATGTTATTAAAAAATAGAAATTATTAATTTAAATTAAATAATAAAGTCAATTTTATCATTTCATCACGAAAATGAATTAACTTGATTACTTTTATTAGTTCGGACTTTGGACTATTTTATAATTTTGGATAAATTGCAGTGACACTCCCCGAAGTTTGTCTAAAAGACAGGTAGATACAACTTAGGTCATTTTTGGACAATGACACTTCCCGGGTTTGCAAACTTGAACAATGACACCCCATGCTATAAAAAAGGAGTCAAACACATCCTTAATTGACATAAAATGTCTAATATGCCCTAAGATATATTTTAATTCTCTCATAAAATGACCAAACTACCCTCTCCTTATCTTTCTCTTTTCAATCCTATTTTTGCCAAACACATATTCTCGTTTCTCTCTTCCAGCCCTCTCATCTAGGTGGTAGCTGCGAAAGTTGTAGGTGAAGATGTGGTAGTCGGGTGGTGGTAGCAAAGGTCGTGGGTGCAGATGCGGTGGTCGGGTGGTGGCGGCAATGGTCGTGGGTGCAGATGCGGTGGTCGGGTGGTGGCGGCAAAGGTTGTGGCTAAAATAGGTTCGCCGAAGTCAGGTTGTGGGTGAAATGGGTTTGCCAAAGTCAATTTTTGGACAGTAACACCCCCACCCTATGTCCATGTAATTATCCTACATCCGTTAAATTATATAGGGTAAATTAAACATCCTATCTTTTTGTAGTTAAATTATATAGGGTCTTTAAATCATGTAAGGTTTGACATTAAATTATATATGGTAAATTATATAGCAATAATAGCTACTGCCGCCACCATCTTGATGAGAGGGTTGAAAGAGAGAGACAAGAATATGTGTTTTTGCCAAACAATTGATTGATTTAAATATAAATATATCTTTTTAATGAGCTGCTGAAGTACTGACCTCTCCTTACTGAAGAGAAGATTAGTGTCTCTATTGTATCTGGCTCTTGATCTGCTCCCATGTCAAACTCGTATCATTGTAGCCTTTGAATTGAAGTTGCAATAGTGTGTCAACACACATGACACAGTTACATAATGGCCGTTTAGATTTTAAATATATGAGAGATAAAAATTAAGATTGTTTTATTTTCTTTTAATATATTTTAAATTTAAAAAATAACTTGTGCCATTTTGATTAATTGCTCATCTACAAGTGAAGGAATCATGCACACAACATCTACACAACAAAAGATAAGTTGTTTATAAGTGGTAATTTAAAAACCATCCTATCTTTTTGCAGTTAAATTATATAGGGTAAATTAAATAATGCAAGGTTTGACATTAATCCAGCAAAAAGGTTTGACGTTAAATTATATAGGATAAATTATATGGCAATAATAGCCACTACCACCTAGATGAGAGGGTTGAAAGAGAAAAAAGAGAATTTGTATTTGGCAAAAAATAAATAAAAATTTAATAAAACTTAAACTCTTTTATAATCTCTCATTATCAAAGAAACTCTATGCCACTGAATAGATTTTATCGGATAATAGGTGTGTGTTTTTTAAATTTTATTTTTACTTTAAAAATAATTAATAATAATATCATTAGTGTATCACCGTATGGGGGAGCTTACACGTACCACAAACGGGCATTTGTTTTTCTCTCTGTTTTAAAGAATTATTCAGTCTACAGATATATACAAGAGGGGGTTGTTGAAGCCCTAAAACCTGCAATCTGAGTGGGACAAAATGGGAGAGGCTCTATTCGAACTTGAACAAATTCTTCGATCTAAACAGGTATTTCTAGGGTTTTTCCTTCATTTTCACGTCCATTTGATTGGTAAAACAAAGTCTTGGTACCACCTGGTGATGACAATGCCCTACTTCTTCTGTCCCAGACCCAAAATTTCTTATTTTTTCTTCGTTTTCTTGTCACTATTTTCCGAGAAAATAAGCATGTAAACTATTCCTACTGGAGCTGCATTTCTGAATTATTAATTTTTATATTGTGGATTTTATTGGGTTTGATCATTATCGGTTGCTTTGCTAGCTAATATGCAAATTTTGAAGCGTTTAAAACTACAATCTTTAAGAGAAGTGTGTGTGTGTTTTGACTGTGATTAACTGGGCAGGGGAATTTGACTAGTCAAGAATCAATTGTGCTTATGACTTGCAAAGCAAATGCCCTCAAGGATTTTACCATTGGGGCTGGTGCTGGTGCCGGTATAGTGTGGCTAGGTACTCTCCTACACTGCAATTCTGAATCTAAACCCTGTTTGAATTTTTATCTGCAGATTTTACTAGTGTGTTTTACATGATTATACCCTTGTCATTATACAGACCCAAAAAGAGGATCTTAAAAATTAATAATAATAAAAAATATAAAAAAAAAAAATGAAGTGTTATGTCTATCTATCAGGGTTTGCCTGAGTAAGTGACATACACATGTTTGGGTAGTTGGGTGTTGCTTTGTTTTTCTCATCTAGTTTTATTTATGTTTTCATGGGTTAAAACTTGCCTATCATTGTGATTCATATCATTAGTAGAACCATGGAATTATTCTCATATCTTTTTTTTCAATGTTTCTCTTATGTTGTAAGAACTATGGGTTTAATTTATATACTTGGAGGCCTTATTGAAGAATTTTGTTTTTGTTCCCTTCATATTTGGTTGCATATGCTTATTTTCGAAGCCCTCATTCTATGTTTGGATAATCATGAGGGAAAGGAAAGGACATGAAAGGATAGCATTAGTTAGGTGAAAAAATGAAAAAGAGAGAATTGTGTGACCTCTTCCATTTTTGGAAAACTAGGGAGATAAAAAAGGAAAATGAATATGATAACCATTCCTCTTCTTCTGTTAAGGTGGACTGAAAGGATATGGGTGCAGAAGAGGTAAAATATCAAATCACTTATAACTAAATTAGGTGCAAATGAGTTAATCACTATCTCCTTGTCCTTCCTCTCTGTTGCCTTTCACTTTTGGACGAAAAAGAAAAGAGGTGTCATGAGGATTAAAGGCACCCTCCATTTCTCTCATTTTCTTTTCCTTTGCTCCTTGAGCCCTCCGTTTTCCTTTCCTTCTCTTTCCCCCAAATCCCTTTGTCCAAATAAATTCTTCCACACCCCCCCCCCCCCCCCCCCCCCCCCCCCAGGGCAAGATTTTAATGGGCTTAGTTGGTCTTTGTTGCCTGAAATTCTCCAGATGCAACAAAATCTATTCTATCAATAATGTTTCTATTATTTTGTTTTTCTTTCACGTTATTGTTAAATTAGGAAAAATACACTCAGGATTGCTTAGTTCTTGTACTTCAGTATGCATATTTAGGTATATATGCTTGGATTAAATTTCCTTTGCCAAATGTGTATGCTTGATTAGTAGAGTTTATGTGTGCAGTAAGCCAGTAATTACCAGACAGTTTGTGGTACCACGGGTGTTAGAGGAAATGCAGTTTCTTTGGGTTCCTTAAAGTTGTAGCAATGAATATGTTTGTCCTTACAACTTATTGGTTTGTTAATCGGCCTTTCATAGACATTCATATCTAACAAGCTTCTGAAGATGAATATGCATTTTAGAGGGTCCAAGTGTCATGTATCTAGCACAGATCATAAATTTAGAAGAGTCCTTAAAACATAGATTAGAAGTCACTGGCAATGTTATATATTTTATTAGAGGTTATTGTTGATCGGTTCCCCCAAAGTTATTATAAGTTTATGGTATATAATGTCTGTCGTCATTCTTCTTCTTCCTGGCTGCACTACAGAGGTTTAGTGATTCACTTCTATTTTTTATTTTTATTTTTTAATATCAATTTATTTTTTGGCAGCAACCCGAAGGCTAAGTAATTTACTTCGGATCAACCTTTCAGGAGGTAACAGATGCTCTCTCTCTCTCATAAAATGAAACTTGCAATGTTTCTTCTTCTTTCCCCGAAGTTTACAACATTACTTTATTTGGTAGGTAAATGTTGCCACATTATACAATTGGATCTTACTATTCAATTTAAACTCTTTTCTTTATTCTGGAATCATACAAGCATTTCAGCAGATGCTAAAATTCTAAAAAAAAATTGCTTTCTTTTGGACATATGAAACTAAATGACATTCTGATAGACAACCATGAGTTGGAGTAAGTGGTAAGTTTGTAAATCTGATTATCAAAAATACATAAGATACGTGTGCCAGCTGAATACATATAGAGACATTATTCGAAACAGTAATTGCAAAACTCTGCTCATTTTGAGAATTCCCGTAAGTGGAGGACATTAAACCATGCATTGTAACTATATATTGGAGTCTTGATGCAACAGTTATCTGTCAAAGAAAAGGTTTTGGTGGTACAATGTCTATGATAAATTTACTATAGAACTTTTAATATTGTAGGGGCCATCATTGATGGATCTCTCACTACTGTTCTTCATGGTCATATATATATATAGATCTCTCACTACTGTTCTTCATGGTCATATATATAGATCTCTCACTAGTGTTCTTCATGGTCATATATATATAATTCTACATTGTTAGTAAGGATCGTTATTGCAAATACCAGAACTGTTATTTTTTTTTTTTTTTGGCACAATTCACTATGTCCGCCTGTTTTCAGGAGCTGCTGCATTTTCTGGATTGTGGAGATTCGGTAAGTCGCTAGATTCATGCGTTGAGCATATCCTTGCCCTGGATGGAAGCCAGATGCAAAAGGAGTTAGCAAATATGTAAATTCTCTATTCCACCTGCTATCCTGCCATGATAATTTCCAATTTATGCAAATTACTGTAGATGGTTGAGGCCTTTGCGAATAGAAGTTCATCAATGCCTCATCTAAACCCAGAAATTACATTATTAGGATGAAGCGATGGACTGTAGGGCTCAGAGCTACTGTTCAAACACCGAGTACTCATAGGAAATCCATGTTTTGCTGATTTTCTAAAGATTTTCTTTAAGCCCATCAACCCTTCAATTCAGTAAGCATCAACAGTGTAGAACATTACTTGAAAGCAATCACTGTCTCCTTAGTTGATTAAGCTTCTACCAGTAAAATGAAAAGGTTAAACGATATGAGGTTAATGAAACAGCTAGTTGGATCATTGCTCAAAAATGACATTTGGGTCAACACTTAACAGAATGAGCAAAATAGGGATTGAGAAGTGAAGAAATTATAAGAGCGAGTTTAATTATTGTGGTGAAGTTGTTGCACTGATTGTAAGAGAATGGGAAAAGATTTGAATCCCCCACCTGTTGTACCTTATGCTTAATGCTTGGCAAATAAATTCAATAAATTTGCTTTGGTCATTCACCTACAGTCTTGTGTAACTAAAGATAAACAATTGGTGACAATATTACAAATTTTGTGTTCACTGCAGTTTACATTTTTCCCAGTGTTCTAAAACTCAGGGCAATTTGGACCACTCAGTTCAGTCGCAATGGTTGCACCCGAGTCAAACCTGATCTCTTACATTGGTTGATATCGAACTGAGTGATACTCAGTCAATTTTTTACTAGCCAGAAAATAATTTTTTCCTGACTGTTTTCTCTTCCATTTCATTGTTGGTGTCTCTGTTAGCATAAAATGTGTATTTTTAGTTGATCAAGTGAGGCAGTATTTTCACATTTCAGAATACTGAAAAAGTATCGGAATGATCCACGGACCATGCAGCTTGTCTCCAAGCATTTCTATTCAGAGAAGGTTTTCGATGATTCATCCTCAGATCAGCCAAAACTAAGATGGCGTTATCGGAATTTTTTTGGTGATAATGTTGTTCATTCTCAGCAGACACATGACGATGACTCTTACAATGACAAGACTGATTCAGTGAAGAATGATGTGGAGAAGACCAGTTTGGAGCACAAGCAACATCTTGTAAGTGTACCTGCCTACCTTTTTCATCCCATCAAACCTTATTTCAGTGCTCTTCTGTTGATAATTTTTGGAATCGCTGGGAAATTAAACAAAATATGATTTGTTAATTAAATAACTCGTTTCTGGGACTGTATGTTTGTCACCGATGGGGGATTTAATTGTATGGGATCACATCTTGGCAAAATGGTATGATTTAATATATTTTACCGTTGTTTTGATGACTACTTATTAACCCATTTTTGAAATACAACTCTAAATGGTTTTTTGTGACTATTGTTATAAATTTTGTACTTTGAAATGTTACGGAAGAGTTAATGAATGATTTCATTTCTCTCTGCTTCATATGTTTCCTCTATTTTAACCATCTATTTTTTGCAGACGAATCAAAGCGTGGATGCAATGGCAAACCCTTTTGACTGTGTTTTAGGTCTCCCGGGAAGGGTTGAGGAGATTCCTCACGCTACTACCTCCACTGCGTCTCCCAAAAGACATGGCCGCAGCCACAAAAAGGCCCACCGTAGACGTCGAATGCGCCATCAGGAAGTTTCTTCAGATTCTGAACATGCTTAGGCTTATAAATTGACTGATTATGGCGAATTTTTAGTTTGACATTTGGGAGGTGGAGAACTATCTTCAAGGATTTGTATACTTCCAGTTACATTAACATTAATTATGCCATTTTTAAAAAAAATTTCTTATTTGTAAATTATGTTTCCTTTTAATGATATAAATGTCGATCAGAGTACACCGACTGAAGTTGCAGCTGAGAGAATGTGGAATGTGTAGAAAATTGTCGTGTGAAAGTTCCACATTCCTGATAAATTACCCTCACAAATGTGGATGCTGGACATTGATTTTAAAACAAAAAAGTGTAGCTTTTTATTTGTTTATTCAATACTACCTCCGTCCAAAAAATAGTGTCATGTTTAGGAACCGTATCAGTTTAATTTGTGAGAGTCACGATTTTTTAAAAGTGACACTTTTTGTGGACGGAAGAAGTAACATTCTTGAATAGCATATAATATACAGTAGTAGTGACAAGTTTTATAATTTTATATATATATATAGATATATATATATATTTTAAAACTATAAAGTAATAATATATGACTTATAAAATAAATAAAAAAGGACAAATGACTTGGCAATAAAAACTACAAGAAGGTAGGGATTTATAGGTAAGATGAAGGCTGGCTAATAATAATGACGATGTTTTTCAAATAAATTCAAATTTAAATGTTTAAAGATGGTATATTCTCTTTAGTGGTAAGTTGAGGTATATGGCGAGCATAATTGTTCTTAGGCTGTGTTTGGAGAATAGATTCAATATCTTGGAATTAAATTGAATAAACATTGACAATTCTAACTGTGAGATGCCAATTTTACACTTCCAAACATCACTTTAATTTTATTTATTACCAGATTATGTTTGCACAATCTATCCTTACATTTATCAATAAAATAAAGAAAGAGATCATGACTAAGCAAACACTAATACCTTATTATTTTACTTTTTATGAAGAGGGATAGTACATTATTAATGCCAGTTAAATCAATCAAGACACCATCATTTTCGTCCAATAAAAAGGAATGATGATGGTGTTTATGAGGGTAATAATGATAATTATTTCTGTTTTTATAAGTTGTAAATAACTAAATATTCACCCATGCTCAAAATTAAACTCAAAAACAAAACAAATCCTTTTTCTTTTTTTTTTTCTTTTTTTTATCCTCACTCTCTCTACCCAAAAATAGAAAAATACAGTAGAATGTAGATTTCATCAACAGCTTCTGTGTGCCTCAATCTCTATTCTCTCTCATAACCATTTACAGACTACTCACAGAGGATCATTTATATATATATATATATATATATATAAGGATTAGGGTTCGTACATCTTGAATAGCAAGATTTCATTCAATGTCAATTATTCAATAGATGATTCCACCTTTTTCCATTTCCGACCTTATTAAGGTTTCGATTCTCTTATCTTTGATATTATTCGGATTCCAATCCATTCAACCCACAAAAACCATGAAGGTACATCCATTGACCACGAAGCGAAACATCCAAATCCTATACAGCGTCGATTCTCAGACCATCCCTGCGACGACGACATCGCAGACCTACATGGACGGCGGTGCCCAGAAGAAGCTCCGGCGTCTACCCCACATCTTTAGCAAAGTCCTCGAGCTCCCGTTCGGCTCGGACGCCGACGTCAACGTCGAAGAGCGCTCCGACTGCTTGCGCTTCGTCGCCCAAACCGACGACGCCTTTGGCGACGGCGTGAGGGCCCACGCCGTCGAAATTCACCCCGGCGTGACCAAGATTGTGGTCAGAGGTGGTGGCAACGGGGTCGAATTGTTGTTGGATGAGCTGGTGGTGGATGCGTGGAGGTATCGGCTTCCGGCGTCCGCGAGGCCGGAGTTGGCCAGCGCGGTCAGTGCCAACGGCGAGCTCGTCGTGACGGTGCCCAAGGACGGAAGGGAAATTGGAGACGGAGGAGAGGGTTGGGGAGGATTGGGCCGGCTCGTCCTTGTACAGTAATCATCATATTTAACTTCCTTTTTTATTGCCTGATATGTGGTTTTTTTATATTTTGCATTTTTATGTTTTTGAACTCTGTTTTATTGAAACGCTTGAATTGGTTTCTAATGCTTTTCTTGTGTTTAGTTATCTATAGATGTTTAATGCCTTTCAAAAGTGATATTTTTCTGTTTTATTAATTGATATTTGATTGCAACGAATATGGTATTTCTGTTTAGAGTAATTGTATAGTTCTTCTTCATTTCTTAGAAGATTTATATTTAGTCTTCTATTGGAGAGTAAATTGATCCAATTTGGTGTTTGAGGGCTTTTTGTGCTTTGTTGTTTTCTTTTATCTCATTTCTTCAAAAGTTAGTTAAGTATACTTTCATTGCTCAGGAGGAGATTGAGGGAAATATTGAAATTTTGAGTTATCAATTTTTAGGACCCTATGTATTAAAAACATAAAAGAAAAGAAAATTTATTTCCTTCTATTTTATCTTCAGCAAAATTAAGTTCTAGGTGCTTTTTGAATGGAGTTGATGCTTTTTGATGGTGATGCACTGATGGTTCATCAATATTCAGAAGAAAAAAAAAATGGATTTCTTTGCACACCCTTATATTTTCTCTAGGAATTTCTCCTCAGTGATTAATTTGCTGAAGGTTAAAAAAAATAAATAAAAAAAAGGTATTTTCTTTTCTTTATTTTCTGCTATTTTATTTTCAGCAAAACGAAGTTCTAGGATTTTTTCGAATGTTTCACTGCCATCATCGCAACTCCATTGGCTTTAAATTGATGCTTTAATTTCGATTAAAACTGAAGTTGATGCTTTTCTTTGGTGATGGTTCATCAATATTGCAATGGATTTCTTTGAACACCCTTATATTTACAATCAGAATTTCTTGGCAGTGATTAATTTGTTGATTTGGTTTGCAACCTACATCAACCTTTGGTCTATGTTTTTTCCTTTTTCCCGACCTAGAAGCTTTGTTTAGGAACTCTGGCCTAAAGTATAAGTTGATATTTGAATACCAAGTATTTGTTCTTCTAACACTCCTTATTTAAGAAATATAAATTGATATATACTATCTTATTTAAGAAACATAAATTGATATATGTTTGGAACCAATGAACCATATAGTACAAACAACATTATGGAATACCAGTGGAGCAAAGTATAGTGCAAATATCATTGGCCGTCTTATTGACCTTTGAAATGTTTCTCTTTGCTATTGATTCAAAGCTTTCCTCTAGCATATTCTGTGCTTCCTTTATTTTTTATACAAATGGTATTTTTGTTCAGATTCTTTTAATACTCAACCCCAGATATACTAGTTGGTGCTTAGAGTACATATAATAGGTTTGCTTTAAGCTCCACACATGATTCTTGTTAGTGCTGCTCCCACCATCTGAAAGTAGTTACATCGTACTAATGATATATATATATTTTTTTTTCTATTTTAAATTATTGAGATTGTTCTATTTACTACCAGGAATAGCACTTTCGAGAGTAGAATGTTGTACACTGTACAGTGGAAAAAATTGGTGGAAGAGGTTTAATTAATGAGACGAGCTATATTTCATGAGCTGAACTTCAAAATTAGATAGATGGATTCTATCAATCTTGTGTAAGAGTTCAAGAATGGGTAGAGTCCAGTAATTTGTTGGTTAAGTTCCTAACAATCTCATAAAAAGCACCACCAGACTCATTGGAAGTAAAAAATGAGATCAGCCAAAAGAGTAATTTAAAGATGCCACATTCCCTACACTATATTTTAATTTCCATTCTTTTAACCTTTTTACTGCTCATATATATATATATATATATATATATATAAATCTAGCATGATCCAGGATTCATTACTTCCACACCATCCTTGATTTCACATCTTATGGCATTACCTTGCATACAGCTTAATACATGTTAAGACGCCATTAATGAACTTTCTTCCACGAAATAAAGTCCGCCGCATGGTCTCTGCATTTTTTTTTTTTTTTTTTTATAATGCTGAAACTGTTGCTTGCGTTCTAGTCCAATGGCATCCAGTTTGAATTTTCTTGAATCAAGGTGATCAATGAATCATCTGCATGAAGAGTTGGGATTCTTAAGTGGCATGACTTGAAACTTCATCTCATCAACAGCATACTATTACATGGAGTTTGCAGTGTTAAATTGAAGTGAGTTTTATGAATTCTCTGTTTCACATTCTTCTTTTCATTTCAAGATTTTCTTGAATTCATATTGTCTGCATTACGACATTCACAACTTACCGTGAGACTAGGGAACTATCATCAAATCATCTGAGATACTTACAATGATAGGATCTCTTTTAGTTAATATTTTGATTGGGTTGATCTTGTTTTCATCTTCGGACAAGTCTCTGAAAGCTCTGAGTTTTAGTTTTATAAAAGTCTGAAACAAGAAAATGAAAATTTTCTTCTGGAGTCTTTTGCATCATGCAATCTCAATTTCTTGTCAACTAGAGATGAGCATAAAGAACATTCATGCAGTTTCCGTTCTCTTCCTTTTCTTTATGCGACTGTTTACAACTAATCGAAGGTAGATGCAAGGACCAACATCTATCTCATATTTAGATTGACACTAAAAATTCATGCAATTTCTGAATTCACACTGTAGTGAGTATCACATTAATTACTAGGGTAGATGGTTGATGAAACAGAAGAAGGCATGATGTGTTCATGATGCACAACATGTTGATATGTTGAGAGTGTTCCTTCTCTGTGTCTCCGATTATCGTTAGTCTGCCAATATATTAAGTGTGAGATCTAGGGCCAGAGGCTTGAACTGTCGTTAACCGGTCAACTATGAGCATAAGCTTCTGCACCATGGACTCAAATTTCCGTTACATTCTTTTGCTGGTTAATGATTTCCTCGCAAGTATTCTTCATGCATTATCATCAATTGCTCTGCTACCTGCTTATGTAACAAGAATGGTTCAGAGTTACTATTGCTGAGTTTTCATTTTACCCCTAAGAAAAATTAGGATGATCATTTTGTTTCTTATGTCTAATATGTGATTATAAGAAGCATATGTTACTAAGCTGCTAGTAATATGGATTAAAATCCTAAATTTAAGAAATAACGAGTCTTTACGAAAATGGGTACGAGAGAAAACATACTTCCTCTATGCTGCCATCCTCAATATCTGTTTTGAAAGTGAATAGCAACTTCTCATGCAGCAGACTCTCTAAATCTTCCATAGAGACCGGTGCTATATATAAATCACAAGAAGATCATATATACACACATACCATTGGTGAAAATTCTTAAACAATATTATTGTCTCATTAATTTAAAAATTATTTTAAATAATTAAATTTATGAGGAGGGATTACTCTTGGATTGAGAAAACCAAGTGAGGATATCGGCGGCAAGTTGGTGGGATTTGTGGAGGGAATCGGAGCCGCCCCACTGGTTTTGAACAGCCATTTGAAGGGCATTCCATTGAGAGAGCAGTCCTGAGATTCCCTCTCGGAGACGACAACACAACACTTCCTCTGTCTTTGCCTCTGCCTCATGCTTGTTCCGACCACCAGATGGTGGTATTAGCACGCTGTTTATATTCACTGAATATTCCATTATAACATATATATATATATATATAGTCTTTCAGACCCCTCTCTCTGAATCAGGCCCTCCCAGTTAGGGAGAGAAACGGATAGCCGAGAGAGGGAGAGAGAGAGGGAGAACAGTTGATCAGTTTTGAAGATGAAAACCAATTGGGACAATTGGCGCGAAAACTGGGGATCTACAAAGAGAGAGACCCGGCTTGGTTTGAACGTTAATAAGCCCACACAAAGTTCACAAACCTTTAATTTTAATTTATTACAACTTTAGAGGTTGGGAGTTCGAATCTCCAATGAGTCAACTCATAACAACGTGTCTATCTTTGAAACAAATAAAAATAAATTAAAAAGAACTTATACAAACCTAATCGATTTATTAATGTCTAGCTAGAAATCCACAGGAAGCAAGCACCATAAATTATTATAGTTTAATCAGTTAATTTCTATCATTATGTTTAGAATTTCACTCAATTTTTAGCAGGTTAATGAACGTATAGCCTTACCAATGTAATATGATGTTAATTTCAGAATTAATCCAACACAAAAAAAACCATAGTTTTAACCGTTGAAACATCATCCCAGTTGATGAGAAATACAATTCACATGATGTCTGATAAAAACAAAATACAAGCGATCATAAGAACAGTGGACCAAATTAAGATCCACCCAATTGTAGATAGGCAAAAGCCAAAAACATTAATGGGTCCTACAAATTGTGAGTTCAATACGGTTGTCTATACTTGCATGATTGTGATTGATATGTAAAAGCTAAGTCATGGTTTTTAACCCTATTATATAGAACATGCTTGAAATAAAGTTAAGAGTCAGAAGAAGCTAGCTAGGTCATCTGTTTGGTTCTTGGAAGAGGAAGGACAGTTCCCTCGTGAGCCACTGTTGTGTGAAGGTGACTTGCAACCACTGTAGCAGCTAAAGCGTTTATGATTGTTCTTCTCTATCTCTACAGTTGCATAGATATAGTACTATGTATATATATCTACGCAACTGTATAATATATATACAGTTTAATAAACAAACTGTGTGTAATTGTGTATATACTATATACATATGTATGTTCAACAGTGATACATTCTTTTTCTGTATGTCTGTATATAATAAAGAGAGGATGCTTTTGGTTCACCCATATGGCAGAATTAGTACACCTGATAGTTACAACTCTTTCTAAATTCTTTAACGGTGAGAGTCTCCGATGAGACAGGCCAATTTTTTGGTTGGATTTAATTATATATATATATATATATATATAGTGGATTTGATATAGATGGACACATTTCATTTATCAAAATGATATTTATATTAAAATATTGGCGTGGTTTAGGACAAGAAAACTCAGCATAGAAATAACTGAAGTTGAAATTTCTCATTAAAATCTGAATTTCTCTCATTTATACATATAAAAACGAAAACAAAAATAAAAATGAAAGACATAGTGTGATTACATAAATGCCTGTCAATTATCCTCGATTGGCTAATTAGACTAAAACATTTCAATTAACTTTAATTAATCCAATAGTGATTTTTTTCTTTCTTTCTATATGTCAATTAGTGAATGTACATAACTAAATGATAAAAATGTCTCAATATGAAAAAATAGGGGCGTGATAAAATAGGGCTTTTGATTTAATTGATGGTTTGAGTTGGGATTCCGGTTTAGACCCTACTTTAGACCATTAGAATTCGTCTAACAAGTATACTTAATTATTTCATTTTGATGAATAAATTTAACAAGTTGGTCTAAATATCAGATATTCTTTAGAGATATGTATAGTTGCTCTTTATTTACTTATTGACTTATTGCACTTTTCCATATATACCTGGTCACAAAATCAGCGACGAGGCCAATGAAGGCATGGGGGGCACGTGGCTCCGGTCCACTCTACAATATATGTGGTAGTTTTTTTATTTTTTCCATATATATAAAATATTTATACATTGCCCCAAAATTCTGTAGTTTCTAAAATTATTTCTTTATTTCTCTTTTAAACTTCAAATTCCTTAAATTTCTTTTTAAAAAAAAGTCAAATTTTTGTTTCTCAACTAAAACTCTGAATTTTTTCGTTTTAAAACTCTCTCATTTTTCTTTTTTCTTTTTTCTTTTTTCCTTTCTCTACTTCTACTTTTTATTTTTTAAATTCTTCTTTTTAAAAGTACATATTTATATAATTTTCACATTAATATGAAAGAATTTAGTACTTCACTTCTCTCAACCATGAGTCATAAAAAGTCTTCTTTAACACTTTTGTGTCACTGCATGGCGCAACCTAAGTCATAAAAATCTCATGCAATTTTTTCAACAATTTTTTGGTGCATGTGAAACAGGATTAGATATGTTGGTGGTGAATTGTAACTTGCTCTAAAAATCAGACGTAAAAAATTATAAATAAATAAATAATAAAAATAACTCATTTCAATATCTTCTTCCTTCACGTTTCTATTTTTACATGCACAATCCAAAATGATAGCTTTTAAAATAAATACTAAACCAAACCATTAAAATATTACAATTGCATTTACACTGCCTCAGCATATATATATATATATATATATATATAGAGTCACGGTCCTCTCTTTTACCTTCCTACTACTCTAGTCCATAAAAACACATAAAAGAGCGCTCTCTCTCTCTTCTCTCTCTGCACAAAGGGAAATGTCCACCATCTTCTGGAAGAACATCTACCTTTGCTTCTCAAAGCTCAAATGTACACCAGAAGCTCTACCCCCACCCTCACCCTCAAAACAAGAAGATCATGACCGTCCATCACCCATCCATTTCACCACATCAACCCTAATCAAGAACTTCAATTCCCTCTATGATCTCACATCTGACTCCACCTCCAAGTCCCTCACCTCCTCCGCCGACGACTTCCTCTCCTCTTCCGACGACTCCGACACCGAATCCCCTCCTGACTTCGCCACCGTCTTCGCCTCCCAACGCTTCTTCTTCTCCTCCCCCGGCCGCTCCAAGTCCATCTTCGAGTCCCCGGACCAGTCCCCACCCGAAGAACAACATGACGCACTCGTCACCGGAGGCGTCGCCATTCAGACGTACTCGCCGGACCCATTTTCCGATTTCAGAAGATCAATGCAGGAGATGATCGAAGCACGCGAATTGTTCGACGTAAATGCCAATTGGGAATACCTCCATGAGCTTCTCTTATGTTACCTTACTTTAAACGCTGAACACACCCACAAGTTCATTATCGGCGCTTTCGCGGATCTCATCATCTCTCTTTTGTCGTCGACAGATAATGACAGTCGCCGGAAACCCAAAAGCTGCCATGGATGCTCTGTTTGAGAATCTTAAATCTTGTAATTTTTGAGTTTTTCATGGAATGGTAGTTTGTCTTTGCATTGTGAGAGAAAAGTGTTTCTTTCATGAAGACAAAAGAAAAATTGTATTGTAAGCACAAGCGTGGGATGTTAATGCCTCGGTGCATGTAGTTTTTCTAACGTGTTATGTGTAAAATGTGGTGTTAGTAAAGAATTATTTTCTTTGTTGGATTTTCTCGGGAAAATGATGTTTCGTGTTTTCGATGCTGTTTGGTTGATATATTAACAAATGTGAAATTAATTTTGGAGACAATCGGACAAGTTTTGGGTATTGAGTTTTAAATTGTTGGGTATTTTTGCTCCCATTATGAAGAGGAAGCACAAACACGTACTTGATCAGGAGGTCCCTATTGCCTAATGGTGGGTTAGGCGTAAGTCATGGATTGGAGTGTCCAATTAGTACGAGCCTATGTTGCTGCATCAGCAATTGAGGCTACTTTAATGTATCCGTCTGATCTTGTGGTGTCACCAAAATGAGCGCATCATAGTGGTCCAAGATCAGACTAACACTCCTGTAATATGTGTGGTTAAGATGTTAGTACACTATCCGAGGATCCACATTACTTACGTTTCAGTTGTCAAAATACCTCCAATTCTTAAGTGTGACATGGTTCGTCAATCTATACACCACATTAATTTACACTAATCGCAATCGATACTGTGACTACGAATCATGTAGATACTCTTCCCAATGTGTGTCTCTGAGTATATATATATATAGTGATTGATGGAAAAGTGAACCAAAATTGTATATCATATTTGGTTGATTGATTCAGCCTATAAATTCAATGTATCAGGTACACAAATTCTCTTGCACTAGAGGGACGACATAGATCAAGAGTTCAAGACCTACTACTAAATTAATCCATTGCAGCCGTCTTAGATAGACTACCAGTGCATGAGTATTGTGCACGAGAGAAGATTCTCTCTGGGTGTATTAATATATCAAGTACAATGTAATATTTGGTGACATGATTGATTCAATCCAAATATATATATATATTGTCATCTCAGTATAATTAATGAGATTTTGACACATTTAAATATTCAACAGGAAAGTGTTTATACTAGTATATCATTTCTTATATTATGATGTATTGAAACACAAGAAGAACAAAGAAAATGAAAGAATTTGCATTGAGAACAGCAGGTTTTGGAATGGTATTAAGGAACAGAGGGCGTGTTTGGCATTGCCCTTATTGATTTACTAATTTAATTGACTTGCAGGGGACAAACAAAGAGGATCCAAGAACTATGTCAACAACTACAACCCAAAGAATAGGATGCTCTTGTATTATGCATATACATAAAGAAGGACTATTCTTATAGACTAGTAGGTTTAGGTAAGGCAAAGATACCTACCTTGTGTAACTAATTAAGTCTCTTTACTGTGAAGATATGATATTTCATTAATATAAGGGGTTGTAAATCCAAGGTTAACATTTTGTTTATGGCCTAATTTTGCAATTGGATGGACTTGACTGGTTTGTTGCGCTTTACATTGTGGTGGTCTGCTAGTCAGCTACCTACCATATGAAAAGAGTAGCCAAATTATACATTACTTTTGGTTAAAGAAATATATCCAGACAAGTCCCGATTTTGCACGAGTTGGACACATAAATAGATATAAACAAGTAGGCCCAAATATGTAACACAAGATAAAGGAATCTTGATTATGTCCATGCTTATCTTTTCACTTAATTATTGAGCGCATGTGACAAGAAGACCCTAATTTGAGTGCTCGCAGAAAACTTAACCATTAGATCGATACTCTAACACAAGACTTATATATATGTGCATGTATATATGTCTGTGTGTGTTTTTTCAGAAATTGAGTGTAAGACTTGTATCTATAGTTTGAAGGCAAATTTTGCACAACAATAAATAAAGTGGTTTCATTGTGAGGGAGGTTGTGGATTCGAAACAGAGAAATAGGTTCTTTGTAGACTCTCAAAACTTTACAATAACAAAAGTGTCGAATACTAAGTGTATCCTTTACTTGTATCTATTATCTGTGTGGATAGTGTGGAGTCTGATAAATACTGTACACTAAGGCCTATTTTTACGGATCTAATTTGGGGGTATTTTGATAATTTTTACACTTACTATATTGTCAAAGTACAAGAGTATTTATTCATTCTGAATTCTCTATATTGATATTGTTTTGATCATCATAGTAAAATCGCTACAACCCTTCTACATAATCTTAATTTTTTGAATGAACCAAATAAAAAATCTGTGTGGCTGATCTCTTTTCCGTATTTTTCGTTTAATTTTGCAACAGAAACTTTAGACATCAATGCATTGCAATATGCAAAAATAGAAGGTGGTGACAAATTAATTTTGGTTGTTTTTGTTTCGGACATGACACAATAATTTTGGTTGTTGGTGGCAACTAAGTTACACGTATTTGAAATCTGATAGAAATTACAATTGTATTGTTCCATATCTTAATGACAATGACTTAAGATTTAGGAGCTCCTTTTCATTGTAACTTGTGAAGAAGTGACTGCGTGTGCTCGCTTAATCAAACCTAACACTCCCCTGGAAAGAGACCTGTGACTGCGTGTGGGCGTTTAATCAAACCTAATACTCACCTGGAAAGAGACTTTCTTTAGTCACGCATGTCTACTATTTATTACTATTAACAACCATTAATAGGCCTTAGATCAGTAGAGGATTCATGATGTTGTACAGGAAGTAGTAATAATACAGAGATGCACAGTAGTTGATATATAATTCAAAAATTGTGTGTGTATATATATTACAATCATTTAAAAATAATAATAATAAAAATTAACTGGTCTGTAGATAAAAATTATCGAACAATAATAAATAGACACTTGAAGAGAAAAGAATGCTCTTCTTTTTTTATTCTTTTTTATCACGAGGCCATGTTTTTGTTTTTATTTTTTACCTTCCCTCTTGTTTTTAAATTGTCTTTCTAATCAGGAATGAATGATACTTCGTATGAGAAGAGAACCAACCAGCTGGTTGAGAATTTGAATAAAGAGGGAATAGAAAGGCATATATATATATATATATATATATATATAAGCATCTTGTCAATAAACTGGTGCCAGTTAATAGATGTGTCATCTCAATCAACTCAAAGCTGATCTGTTGGACTTATGGATCTCTTATATGGACCCCATTTCTGTACACATAGTTTGTCATATATATCCACGTACTAGTGTGTGTAAACAGTGATGGAACAAAGCAGTACATGTACACACATGCAAGCCCAAGTTTGTGTAGTTCGAATTTTGGAATTCAGTTCATTCAAAAAGAAGACAGAATGGTATCTCCACACTTTTCATAATTGGCTTGTTCAGTTTCTTTCTCGGGAATGGATTTTATTGTTTCCATCTCAATAACGTTTAGTTCCGTTACTGTGCCTACACTTCCCATACAATATTATTCGATTGTGTGTCTTCCCTTTCTTTGAGTAACCAATCCATGTTTGTCTTGGGTCATTGTTACTGTCAAATCTTCTAATTGGTTTTGTTTTAGTGGAGGTGGGAGCTCCAAGCCCTTTGGTTTTGTTGGTTAAAGCCTGTTGTGAAATTGGGCCAACAAAATTTGGATGGCCAAGAACCATGGTCATGCCTCATTTGGTGCTAACTTCAATAATTGGACTTTTCCACCCTATTTTATCAATTTATTCTGCTGGGACCATGTTGTTTGTTCCCAGGGCTGGTGGGCTAGGATGATTGGTGGTTAAAATAGCAGAGGAGAGATTAAATGAGAGAAAATTCATTATAGAATGTTTTAACATGTAAGTGCACGAATTAGGAAGAATAACAGTAATCATAAAGAAGGGGTGAAAGATCAAAATTAATGAGAATAGAATTAAAAGAAAAGCACGAGATGACATTATTGATTTTACCAAATTTATGAACTTAAATAGAATAGAATAAAAAAATATGACTTTTATATTTGATTCTAAATTATTGTAGAGGTTCCATAGTTCAATGAGTTAGTAATAAATTAATTTTTTTTTTTGTCGAATTTTAATTTACTAATTTAACTTTTAATAAGAAGAAGAAGGAAAAGAAGAAAAAAAAATAAAAAATCTAAATTATTGAAAAATAAAAAATTTCTAATCATCTATGAGAAGGTATAATTTATTCTAAAGAAATTTCTTTTTCTTTTTTTATTTTCATTTTAATTTTTTTTTAGGAAATAAATTATTTTCCAACTGTGTGTAAAGTGAAGTAAATCTGAGCCATCCGTTTGTGAGAAGACTACCATTAGCCGGAACACCAAATTCCCAATTTGTTAGAGACTCTCATAGTCATAGTTCTCTCACATACATAGATAAAAATGGCAGTTGGGCTCTCCTTTCCAATTCCTGTATCAGCCTTCCCAACATCACCCAAAACCACTCAATCAAATCTCTCTGCACAAATCAAGCCCACTCCCATTTGTACCCAATTCATCAAATCCACAACAATCACGATTAGGAGGAGAAAATCCTTGTTCTTCATCAAAGCCATCGACAACAACGAGCTCGAATCTGAATCCGAGTCTGAATCCGAAACTGCAAGTGCCCAACAGAGCGCTTCAACTGATCCACCACAACCGGATAGTCTGTCGGAATTGGGTTCGGAGATCAAGAAAGCGATGAAGGAGAGAGAACAGAGACGGGGCAAAGATGGAGACTTTTGGAGCGGAGTCACTGAGGAAGTCAGAGAGATCGAGTGGCCGGCTTTTGGGAAAGTCTTGGGAATTACTGGGGTCGTGCTCGGTGTCATCGCCGGCTCGAGTGTTGTTTTGCTCACTCTCAATGCCGTTTTGGCCGAATTCTCCGATCGGGTCTTCGCCGGAAGAGGGGTTCAGGATTTCTTTTAGTTGATGAGAAGAAGAAGATAAGGAATTGGCTATTGAGTGATTTAGTGTGGGAGGTTCTACCTCCTCACCCAACTCTTGATACTCAAATCAGGACAAGTGGAAGGGAAATTTCTCAATTTTGTGGGCCACAATGGGTGGGTCCCATGGCACCCTTTTAGTGTTGAATGCCAAGAAGCTTTTCAAGTATTCATTCTTGTGTGTAATTTTGTTTGACATAGATCTCTGCTCTCACATTTTTCCATCGAAGAACACTATTTAAGCCCTTGTACACATTTCGGTCTCATTGGAAACAATTTGTGACTCTATGTTTGTCCTTAATTGCTAGTACCAGCCGTACTTTACAAACTAAGCTAATTGACACCTTATTGAGAGGGGAACTTTTGATATGTTAAAATTTATATACTCCCTTCCTTCCCTAATTAGTAGTTTATTTTTTTTTTTTTACACGTCCTAAATTAGCTGTCCTCTTTGAAAAGTCAAAACATCTTTTAATTATATTTTCATCATTGTTCTTTATCTTTTTTAAAAATTTCAAACTTTGTAATTATATATATTTAAACTATAAAGGATAATTTGATAATTTTAAAAGGGAACAATGCATTAATTACATGTCCCCTTAAAAACTCCAATTTCTAAACATGGACTTCTATTTAGGAACATAGGTAGTACTATTTATATATGGTCTCTGTTCCCCCCAACCAACCACAGAACCATAACTCGACATAAGCAAGTAAATATGTCAGTTTTATTCGTATTTAACATTTATAGGAATTAAGTAAGAATCTAATTTTTTTGTTACCCTAGTAACAGTCAGTTCTCAATAGATGCTCAAAACTGCGCCAGCCCAAACAAGAAAAGCAAATGCCAATGATCTTCCAACTAATTTGAAAACAAAATCCCATATTCATATCTGTTACACTCAATTAACCTGATTGACCAAACGCTCAGGGTCTAAACATCCTGATACATAAAACAAGCTAAATATTCTTGAAAACAGCATCCAGGAAAATAACATTACTAGGAATATGAGAAACAGGAGACCACTCTATTCGTTTGCAGGACCTACAAGAACACCCTGTGCAGAGCCAGCCTTCCTGCTACTCTCATCATTCACCTCATCAGCTTTTCTAATCCTGATTTTGTATTTAGCCTCAAAGTCGACAATTTCCTTCTTCTTCTTGTCCAAGGCTTCATGAAGCCGAGCAATTACCTCCTCAAGCCCCTCCTTGTTGCGCTGAACAGCTGGCATGACCTCTTTAATGGTTCTCTCCACTAGCACTCCTCCAATCATCCGGTAACACTTCCTTGAAGGATCAAGTGGTTGAATGGCATTGATCACCAATGAGTGCTCACTCACTTCAATCTCCAGTTCAGTTATTTTTGAGTAAATTTGACTGATTTCAGACCTCATGGAACCATATATGTTGGCCACAGCTTGCTCATTTTTTGGCTCCTTACCACCACCTTCAGCTTGGCCAGCCATAACTCTGATCAAATGAAGAAAAGATGAAGATAAATCAATCAATAATGTAATGCTTACATGCTATGAATGGATCAACAGATGGCTGCTTGCAGATTCTTTGTGCAATCCGTAAATCAGATTACTCAACAAGAATTTGCTAATATGAAAGACGTTCGAGTGATGCGTAAATGTACATACACAAACTATCTGTAAAAGTTTATCTTGCTTTCAACCAGATAATGAGTTTGTAATGAGTTAAGGTTCCATCAGGGTAAGTAAGGTTTCTATTCAATGAGAAGATTATTGCACTATTCTGAATAGAAAACAAATTTATCAATTCTGGTCGATGATTTTACCACCTTTCTTTTTTTTGGGAGAACTAAGAAAGTAAGCACGGAGGCTGCAAAGAAGGAAAAAGGAAACATACACCACTAGAATAGCCTTAGCAAAAAGGGACCAAAACACCAGGAGTACGGCTGCAAACGAGTCAAGCCGAGATGGCATTATAATCTTTTTTGAGCTTGGCTCCAATGTGCAGCAACTGTGTTTGCTCTCGGCTTCTCTATAGTTGAGGAAGCTCAAGCTGGGTTAAATTAGCTCATTTGACTTAACGAAACAAGCTTGAGCTCAAGACTGATAATCCAGTAATGAATGCTCTAAACCCTTAATGGCCAACTCTCTCTATGACCTATCATAATCCTTTGGTGTATAGTAGTTTGAAAATAAATTACACTAACTTAATTTTCTATATGAATCATGATAATCCCACCAAAAAATAAAAGGGAGAGAAATAAGAGAAGAAAAGGAAACTGAAATTTGCAGGAAAATTTTCTTTAATGAGGTAGAATATCAATCCAATGGAACGGTTTCTTAAAAATGGCAAAGTTTTTAATGCAAGTTCATTAAAAATTGGTATGTAAGGGGAAAGCAAACTAAAATGAAATGCAGAGCCTGCGCTATTGTTTATCAACAAACCAAGAGCTTTCCATTGATCAATCATGTATTGAATTTTAACCACCCAATAAAAGCTAAAGAATAATCATTTAACACCGCTCCGTTATATGATCTATTTACTCAACTTATACATAGCAACGAAAGGAAAAAATATATATATAGGTACATGAGAAAAACGGATCAAGAAACAAGGATTGTGACAATGGTCAGAACACCCTATTGGAGGAGAACAACGTGCCATTCCAATCCTTTTAGGAATGTAGCCAATATTCTCAAATGATTCCAACAGAATATAGATTGCAGAACACAGAATACACCCAAAAGACAAAAAAGAAAATTGGCACAAAAGTCCCCAACTATTGATTCGTTACTAAATAATCCGAACTTTTAAACCTGATCTGCAGTTGTTAATCGACCTTTTAGCACAAAATGGTTTATATACTTCATGGTAACATAGTGACAGAAATTTTCAAATCGAGGCCTAGTTCCCTCTTCTGCATCCAGTTAGTTGGGGAGACTAGAAAACTTCAAGGGCAATAAAAATTAGGGTTTCCAGAGAGGGAAAGGATACCGATTTACCATGGAGCAGGAAGAAAAAATAATAATAAAACCCTAATTTAAAACGAAAAATCTGAAAGATACAATTTATATAGAGAGAAAAAAAAATAGAGGAGAAAACTCACCGGAAAGTGGGATAACGTGATCGATGATCGTCGATGGCCGCTAGCTAAATCGTGACTTCGGCGAGGCGTTGGAAAGGGAGAGAGAGAGAGAGTGTGGCTTGAAGGGCCTGATAGACTGAGCTTAGAGAAGGGGTTAGACTGTTTTTAAGAATGTACAGGCCTATGAGTCCAATAATACTGTTCACTCGCAAACTAAAATAACAAAAAATATATTATTTATATATATATAATACGTAGAATAAATTATTTTTTGACACAAATATTTATGATTTTTAATATATTCAATCAATAGATATTATATGTTAGATCTATATTATATTATATGTAAATATTAAATTATAAACTATAAATAATTAATAATTAATAATTAATAATATTATAATTCATTATATATTTTATTAAGATATATCATTTAACATTTTGTTTTATTATAACGTATTATATGTTAAAGATATTATATATTACATAATAAATGTATACATGATGTATATACATGTATTTTTATTTTATGCATAAATCATATTTTTAAAATAAAAGTCACACACATAAAAAGAAGACACATATAATGATAGTGAAACACACGCAGAACAGTTAGGTGACTTGGTTTGGATCAAATGACAAAAAATTGTTATAAAAAGATAATTTTTTTTTTTTTTTTTTTGGGAATAAAATGAAAATTGGATTCATGAGAGATTTCTCATAATGAAAGAGGAATTAAGAAGAATAGAATTGACGTGGTACAAACTGCATATAAAAAAAATAATAAATAAGTTTAATTTCACTGACATCTTTTTAATTTCCGTTAAAAATATGTAAAAAAATAATTTTACTCTTAATTTTTTGGATTAATTACAACGACACCCCCTGAGGTTTGTCATATTGATAGCCATATATAACTTAGCCTTTTTTTGGACAAAGACATCCCTTAGGTTTGCAAACTTGAATAATGACACCCCATTTTTTAAAAACGGAGCCAAACACAGCCTTAAGTGACATGAAATGTCTAATATGCCCTTAGATATATTTTAATCCTAACCTAAAATGACCAAACTACCCCTATCTCTCTCTTTCATTCCTGTACACAACTTTACTCTCTCACCTCTCTCTTTCAACAGCCCTCAAAACCCATAAAAGATAAAATTGTCTGTCGCTGGCTATGGATAATGTGCTTGCCGATCAGAACCCCACCATTTCAGGTCGCCGTCGTCCTCGTCCGTAAGAGACAATGCATCTCCATTAAATCCTCTTCACCGCCGTTTAGTTCAGACGCACTTCTCTTAGCTAAGAATAGACCCTCGTCACACATCCTTGCATCGCCAGTAAGAACAGTGCAGTTAAAATCCTTGGTCGCCATCGTCCTCATCAAATTTATTGTAGTCACCGTCATCCTCGCCGTGCAGTCCTTTTTGCTCTCCGATTCAATCAAAAAAGCAAATTATCTACTGCCGTCGATTTCGCCAATCTTGAGGCAATATGGCCTTCAACCGTGGCCACTGTTCCAATTCGGTCCTCCATTAATGCCATATCCCACAGCCGCCGGAGAAATTTTATTGGCCTTCGTGTTTTCAGTCCTTGCTTGTTCGGCATGTCTCTCGCCGTTTGGGATGAACTCGGCCTCGACTGTGGATGGCTCGGCCATGGAGGACTTGTGGCGGCTGGTGAGTGGTGAGGGCTTCTCCTTACTCGCCGTGAGATCCCACTGAGCCGCCTTGCAAACCCACCATCCACCTTGTCTCTACCGCGAACCGTCCTTGTCACCACCTCCTGCCGGTGTAGCGCCGCAAGCCCACTGCGATTCAACCACATCAGCGATGTGGATTTCTGTGATGAGTTCGCGCGGCTGTGGAATGTGGACTGAACTCAGCCGTGATAGAGGTGGGCAGAGAGCTTCGAAACGGCTGCCGACGAGCAAGGGGGAAGCTCGGATGAGATAGGTAGCCGGCTGCTGTAACACCCCCACATTTTTCACGCATAAGTTGATCAGGCTTATACACGAAAAACGAGGGATATCAAAAACAATTGGCAATATACAAGCATGGAATACAAAATGATGGAATTAAAAGAATTTAGACAGGAAAGAAACATTAAATAATACAACATCCATCCATCCTTTATTTAATACAGTACTTCTTTACAACTTGGAAATCCTATGTCAGGGATCCCTAAATATAACCCTGAGAGTTCAACGTCAAAAGTAAATAAAAACTGAAACTGAAGTATTACATAAAACTTCTACCCTGCACTGGATCGTAAGAGTAGATGAGTTCGGATGATGGTCCCACACTGCTAACCTCAGCCTTGAAACGGATACTGACCGTATCCTGAAATAACAACAATGGTGGGTCAACCCCACGAGCAAGTCCTCTCTACTATGACCCAAATCAGAGAATCAAATAAATTAATCATTATGAATCGGATGAGTACTATATCTGTATACATCCTACGGGAACTATCCGATGTATAACATGACCTCAACCAGAATAGACGGTGATCACTTAGACTCACACTAGGTGGTTAAGTGTCGCCTTTCCCTACCCGGGAAATCAGCTATTATACATGGTGCACGGTACTGACAACACAGACTATAACGAACTACACAGTGATAACACCTCGCAAAGTACTGATGAATATACTGAGCATATAAATTAGGCAACACATGCCAACAATATTAAGAAATATACCGAGTATGTCAATTAGGCAACACATGCCAATAATATTAAACCACATACCCCGACAGCCACACATCTGTCTATCGCAACGAATGCATAAGGTATAAATGAGTCTAAACTTATTAGCCAGCTCACATGGTTCTATATGGCAACACATCCATACAATATAAATGCGACATAATAAACAGTCCATTTATTCCCTGAAATGCACACAACATAATAATCATGGTTTATATATCAATTAACAGTATAAACATCCCATAAGATATTCTGGATAATTTATCTGACTAAAACCATGGCCTTATTTAATTTAACAGTAATGTTTGATATCATTTAATACGATAATAACACTATTTACTTTTAACAATGTCGTTAAATAAATCACATTAGTATCCGTGCTGTGAACGAGCCAATAAATGCTTAGAAAAGATTAATCGGTCATAAGAATAAGTAACGGGTGTTAAAATAATAATTTCGTGGCCCGTTAAACCCGTAAATACCAACACAGTACCTAAAAATCCAAGTTTAAGATTCTGGAATTTACAAAACAGGCCCTAGGGGTATTCTGGTAATTTCCAGCAGCTGTAGGGACCCCACACGCGCCCTCACGCGCCTCCCAGAGCCTCCCCACGCGCAGCCAAGCTTTCCCACTCTCCCACGCGCCTCCACGCGCATCTGGCATCAGCCACGCGCCCGCACGCGCTCCCACGCGCGTCTGGAGAGTCCCACGCGCGCGCACGCGCTGCCACGCGCGCACTAAGGGTGCCTTGCTGACGCGGCGTCCTCCGGTTGGTTGGCTGCATCAGCTTTCCTGCATGCGCGCCACACCGGATCAATCCACCTGCATCTCCTCCATCCAACGTTCCCTGATCCGGGTGTACCGCGGTAACATGGACCGCGGTGCACCGGATCAATCGCTGCTATTTAATGGTCCAGATGCGCGCGCATACCCTCCTATGGTGCGCCGCATCACACCGGATCACTCCGGTCGTCTCCCCCATTGCCGGCGACCGGAAAACTCGCCGGAAGGTCGCCGGAAATTGCAGAAAATGCCCGGAAAAATCTAGAAAATTCTAGAAAAATCCCTAAAGTCCTATTTAATTATTTTTAGCCATTATTAATTTCATAGGACATTAAATAAATATATACCATCCTATATAATTAAAATTCCATTAATTTAATAAAAATAAAATTAATAATTTATTAACCTCCAACCCTTGGCTCTATGCATAAAAATAAGCTAAACAATTAATTTATTAATTCAAAGGGGAAAAGTAGATAATAACTTGCCTTTTTGGATTTAAAATAAATCCGCCGGTCTGCGCGTATTCGGGTAAAATCGCCTACACCGGTCCAAGCTTCTTTCTCTTTCTCTTTTCCTTTCACTCTTATAAAATAGCTCACTAGAAATTATACTTTGCTTCTAACTCCCTTTATTTTCTTCTAAGGTAAGCTAGTTAATTTATATACAAAATATATAATATAAATATTACAAATATCTTATTTTTTCATCTACTAACCATCCTCCCAACCATAAGGCTTCAATTCCACCCATAAACATTGATGCAATCCTATCCTAATCTCTAATTTCATCATGACATTGGTTTAATACTATTATTATTATTATAACTAATATTATTATTAATAAACTTTTATTATTATTATTATTATATTATTATTATTATTATTATTAAACTAATATAATTATTATTATTGTTATTTACAAAATAATATATTATATCATCATAATACTTTATAACACAAATATAATATTCTAATTAACTAATATTGCTTAATTAAACATAATCAACAAATAAAATTAATTATAATAATACATGCACAATTAAATGAATAAATTTACTATTTTAACATACACAATTAATTTACATGCACCATTAAATGAACTTAATATAACAATGAAGCATGCACAATAATAGGTACCGGAATCCACACATAATTGAATTTAAATACACTAAACTCTTTAATTAATTACGGGGTATTACAGCTGCAGAAAGCACGGACGGCGGGCAAGGCGTTGTATGTATATATATATATATATATATATATATATATATGTATATATAGATAAATGTATGTAATTTTGAAGTGTTGGGTTTGTGTGATGGTGGTGGAACGGGGGAGAAGATGGTGGTTGTGGAGGTTGCGGTGGTGGTGCCGGTGTAGTGGTTGTGTATAATGAATTTTTTTTTTTTTTTTTTTTTTTGCGGGGAAGATCCAAAAATCGAAAGAATAAAAGATTTTTTGGATGAGGGTAATTTGGTCATTTTACGTGGTCAAAGGGTAAACATGTACTTTCATCATGTTTGGGGTGTCATTGTTCAAGTTTGCAAACTTAAGGGTTGTCTTTGTCTAAAAAAGGGGTAAGTTGTATATGGTTGTCAATACGACAAACCTCAGGGAGTGTCGTTGTAATTAACCCTAATTTTTTACTCTCATTTGTCACCAAATATCATATTTCTTT